ATCCTTCTTCTTGTTTGTAATACACACAGATCAGAGTAGGCAAGCAACACCTACACTGATAATGCTCTCAACCACCCTGTACTGTGAAACCTTAACCTTGCTTTAACACTTTAACAAGAACAGCCACATTGTTCAGAGAGCAACATCCTGGAATGCAATCACACTAAATTTTGGGATTTTTTGTGAAAGTAAGAGTGAAGAAGTCAGAGATTAAATAATGCAAACTAGAAAGATGCTGGGCAGATTCTTAAAAATTAAAGCTTTCTGGAGGGTCACTGCATGGAATCCCCTTCTAATGATATCAAGCAAAAAATATTAAAAATAAATCCCTAAAGTTGACATTTAAATGTAATAATATCACATTGCTAGTGGCGCCAAAGGAAGTTTAGCCGAAGTATTTGGGCTTTATTGGAAAAAGAGTACACAAAATAGATTGAAGTCTCTTATGACATTAAAAAAAATATCTACTGAAGATTATTCACTTAGTGTATTAAACACATACAATTTTTATAAGGTGCTTTATAAACTTGTTAAACAATGTCTGCTTTGAGAGTATGTAAAATGGATAGCCTTTGAAATAAAACTTTGTATGTATTGAAGAGATACAACAGCTAGCATCATTAGCTTACTCTAACCAACAGAGTACCAACACAATAAAAAGAGTCAATTACTTGGCTTATAAAAATTTACTGAGTCTACAAATTCTTTCTAATTACATCAAGTGTACCAACTGAAGAAAGAAACAGAAAGTGGACTTTTCTTAAGTCAGCAGCAGTTTGCAAAAATTCCCCTCTTGTCACCTGATAAAACACATCAGGACAAAGCTGCCCAGCACAGCATGCTCTCTGCATCGACGGTGACATGCTTATCAGGAGTAGCAAAGAAAGCAATCGACAACCATAAAGTCCAAACCTGAAAAACAAACTTGGGAAAAACTTGCTTTAGGATTCCAAGGATCTACTCATGCCTTACTTGTCTTCTGATTTGCAATAACCCCTCTCTTCTGCTGAACACAAAGGGATTAAAGAGATGGATAGGGTAATCTGTTGATTTGTATAATGCAATAATTTCCTGACAACTCAGGAAAAGCCACAAAACCTACAGTTTTTCAGAGAGCCACAAAACCTACAGTTCCAGAGACATGGCAGGTTTGATGATGGACACATTTGTTGTGCCTCAGTGTGGGTGCTCCCCATACAGGAGCTGCCTGCAGCCATCCTCGGTGGGCCACTCTTGCTCACAGCAGGGCCAGGGGCAATAGTTTCCCAGAAGGGAAACACTAAGAGGCTGAGAGGACAAAAAAGTGTAAACCAGCCAGTGGCAGCTGCAGCATTGCACTTAAAGTTCAGTAGCAAAACTCATACCAAAAAGGCTGAGTTACTGACACATAGCAACAAGGCTCACGAAAGAGAGAAAGGAAAAGATGAGTTAAAAGGCTTAAGCTATCTAAAACCTAATGAAGGCCTGTGATTCACTTGGATATCTGAAACTGAAGCAGGGAATGTCTTCAGTTAGAGAGTGTTCACAACAGGACTGAATGGTTAAACTTAATTTATATTTTCTTTACAGCAGACTGTCTACATCACTGTTACATGACACTACTCAAAAGGCACAGCACGATGCCATTTCAGCTGAAAAGCTAGCAGAGAAAAAGGCAATGCAGGGTAGAGAGAAAAAGTAAGGTTTAAAAGGTTTAAAAATAAATTTTAAAAAAACACTTTGAAAGGGTTTTTTTTCTTTTTTTTTTTTTTTTTGACTTGGCTGTGGCACATGGTCACACAAGTAATTGGATCTACATAACAGATTGGTTTCTCACTGCTGGTTGTCCCAGCTCACCCTTTCCTGCACCAGCTCTGGTGTTTTTGTGACTCTGGGCTGAACTGCTTCTGTGTTAAGTCAGCAGAAAACTAAGCCAACATAAAAGGCGATAGGTTTCTGCTGGGATATCATGCAAAAACAGTTGAGCACAGGCTGAGAAAGGAGACAGGCTTAGCTGCCCTGGCAATGCAGGCTCAGTCTGGTCAGTTAGTGCATCCACAGTAGCTTTACTGGCATTTGAAAGCTCCAAATGAGGCTTCAATACTACAAATATTTATTTCAGGAAAAACACCATCTTATGTGGCATTATCTCATCTCCCCCCTGTCACACAAAGCTGTTTGCCCAGACACTGTCTGCTGAGGGGGAAGGAAAGGGTTTTTGTTTGTTGTAGTTGTTTTCGATTGAGACCAAGCCTCCAGCAGCTTGTCATGTGGCTCTGTGAACAGGTGTGCTGGTAAAACAGAAGGGTTGCAAACGACTGGAAACAGGCAACTGGAGGAAGAAGGGTGCTTAAACCAGGACAGAGAGTTTAAAAAGTCTGTGTTTGTAAAACTGTGTTGTAAATTTGAGCCATGCTATTCTCCTTAGTACTGTCCACACACTTAACAGGAAATTCTAATCTAAAATAAATACAGTGTAAGTGAAAAAAAAAAAAAGAAAAAATAAGAAATAAACACTAAATATATAAGTCAATAAATAAATGAATGATATATTTTTAATATCATCACCCCATCTCACACTGTGTAAGCTAATGTATGTACATTATGATTTTTATTCTACCATTCAGGAAAGTAATTTAATTGCAGAATATGTCACAGGTTTCTTATGTTCCTGCTTTGGATGCAGCTGAGAGTAATCTCATAGCCTGTGGTCCCTCAAATGTCTCTCCCAGCCACATGGTTCTGCAAGATACCTTACTCTATTCCTAGTACCTTTTTGATTCTTTCCTGAGCTTATGCAACTAACCAACAGGGCAGAGCGGTACTGTAATCGCTCATACAAGATTTAATGAGTGTCAGAACATTCCCAAAAGGAAAACATGGAACAGTGAAAACTTCTACTTTTAGCAGGAGTGAATAAACTTAGCTACTTCCCTAACTGCAGCATAGCTGTCCTGCACCCTGGCTGTTTGAATTAGGTACAGGATCAGCTTTTCCCTTGGAATTCCAATGGCCATAGAAGGCTCAGGCAAACTCCTGTGGGCAGAAATGCAGTGTTAACACCTGCTTTGCCGTGCAGATTCACAAAGCACTGGGCCCTCCATCTGTATGGATGTCACCTCAGTGTGGACTGGTGAGCACTTTGTAGCTGTCATTTTAGGCTTCAGTTGTGTAGGGTAGGACAGGAGAGTATTTATAAACCAGTGGGTGCTGTATGTAGTCTCTGCCCATCTGCTCTGACTAGCTACCAGAAAACATGTAATTTTTTAAACCATAAAGCTTATGGCAATTACAACCATTAGAACAAATATTTATACTTGTGACTACCTGCAAACTTTATTTAAGTAGGCCACTCTAAGAACTATTGCTTTAATAATCTAACAAAGGACTACAAATCATGATGAAGTTCCTGTCTCTGCAGAGCAAAGGCAGTCTTATTCTGAAGCCAGTTTCATGGGGATTTGTGTTCTGTGGAATAGAATCTGAACAAGAGCCTTTAGCTGGCAAGGCACAAAGGTTTTCCTATATTGAAGCTATGCTGCTTTGTCTCCCAGCAGAGAAACTGGAGCCAAAGACAAACAAAGCAGAAAAGAGCGTTAAAGACAAACAGGTGGAAAAGAATGAAAAAAGCACAAGAAATGCAAGAATATGCTCTCTGTGCCTGAGGGACACACTCAATGGAAGGAAATCCAAATCTAAGGCAATACATTTTGGACTCTGAAACCTGGATCAAGACTCAAGACTGTCGCCAACATACTTTCATTCAATTGATACACAACTGACTCCTCACTTGAAAAGATTGCACACTGAAGAAACAAAGTCACTTCACATGGCTTATGAAAAATGTTAGCTACCCTAAATTATTTTGCTCTTCATTCTACAAAGCCATGTAATAACAAACATGGCCCAATGAAATAGGAATTCAACTATCATTAAATAAATGTATTCAGAATGCAAAATGTTCTTCTTTGAATGGATGCTTGATTAATAGAGGCAAATAAACAGACCTTTAAACTGTACAACACTGTAAAAAACAATCCTTTCCTGTATGTAGGTATGACATAAGCATACACATGCATGTTTCTCTACTAGTGTAAGGATTCTAGCATAAGAAACCTCATGTTTCACACTGCTGGATCTTTTCAAGAGCACTGTTTCACAGGTACTCAAACCTGTTCCACAGGTACTCAAACTTCAGCCTTAGGATTAATGTAACCCAACCTGGGTGTTTAGGACTCAGAAGAGAATGGCTGAAGCAGTGCAAAGGCATCACCACTTCAGTGAAGGGGGCTGCAATGCCCCTTTTATTTAATTAATTCTAAGGTTTAAACTCTCACAACCATTTTTATAAAAGCTAGTTCATTGTTCAGCTACAAGTTTATTTTGCCTGCAACTGCCAAGCTCTGTGTGTCCATTGTTGCTTGTAAGGCTGAATTCCTAATATAAAAAGAGTCAGCCCACTCAAATGCTTTCATGGGAACATAAGGGCCTCACGGTGAGGCTTGACAATGCAGCTGGACCAACCAAATGGCTCACAGCCACCAAAATGAGGCAGTATTAATCTTTTTTCTACCACCTTGTCTCTGCTAGTCCTCTGCACTGGCTCAGGGACATCTAACATCTGATTTGGCTGAGTTTATTGTACTGGTACAGAAATAATTCATCAGGAAGAAAGAATTGTTTCTGTTGGTTTATCAAGTGAGACCAGATGAATACTAACAGAATGAACAACAGGACACCTCTTTCAATGCCTGCTCATTTGACTGGTTCAGCTGCCCTGAGGAGTGAACAGGTCACTTGTGAGTCAAACATGGTGAGAGGACCACAGTGACAGGACTTGAGAAAAAAGGCAGGGTAAGTGAAGAAGTGATTTTGGCTTATTACACATTCACATTAAGATTATTTTATACTAATATTAATAACAAGGTAGTATTCTTACCTTTAATTGCTAATTTTTCCATTCATTTGCATCATTGCCAATTTACTAACATCATAATACAATAAACTGAATATTTACTTACCTACAAATCCTTTCTCTCCAACTAATTTAAGAGCAATTTTATCTGCCAAAACAGAAGAATTTCCATGTGCAATGTTAGCAAAAGGTCCAGCGTGAACAAATACTGGTGTTCCCTGGATGATAAAAAAAATATGTGTAAGTAACTCAAGGTATAGATGTCATGGTTTAACCCCAGCCAGTAACTAAGCCCCACACAGCTGATTACTCACCCATCTATCAGTGGGATGGGGGAGCAAAACAGAAGGGTTAAAGTCAGAATACTCATGGCTTGAGGTAAGGCCAATTTAATAGGTAAAGAAAAGACTGCACACACAGGACCAAAGCAAAACAAGGAATTCATTCCTGCTTCCCATGGGCAGGCAGGTGTTCAGCCCAGGAAAGCAGGGCTCCATCATGTGTAATTGTTACTTGGGAAGACAAATGCCATCACTCCAAATGTCCCCCCCCTTCCTCCTTCTTCTCACAGCTTTGCATACTCAGCACGATGCCATATGGCTGGGAATACCCTGTGGGCCAGCTGGGGTCAGCTGTGTCCGACTGTGTCCCCTCCCAACATCTTCTCTACCCCTGCTTGCTGGTGGGGTGATAGACAGAAAAGGCCTTGACTTGTGAAAGCCCTGCTCTGCAATTACAAAAACATTCCTGTGTTACTAACACTGTATCCAGCACAAATCCAAAACACAGCCCTGTACTAGCTGATGTGAAGATAATTAGCCCTATCCCAGGCCAAACCAGCACATTATGTAAGAAAATAATTTTTCAGACTTATCAAAGTCACATATAAATCAAAGCACATATAGGAAGGAAGTGCTATTAGACAATTTAAAGGAGTATCTCAGGTTCTTGAGACCTCATTTGCCTGCTTCATTCCTAGAAAGTAATAAACAGTAGTGCAAACTTAGACAACTTCCTAACCCCACCTTATACTAGTTCATGTTTCATATTTCCACAGCTCTAATACTGTGGTGTGCTACTCTGGCACACGTCCTGTAACAAGCATTAACTGCAGCACTGCAGATACACAAGTAGGAGCCCAGCTCCAGCCCTTCTCCAGCCCTGTGTGCTCCTGTTTTCCTCACTGGATGCAGCAGCCATTCCTGCACTGGCACAGGAGCCAGCAGAAGCTATGAGGGACCAGAGTCAAGGGTTAAGGAGCTGGAGAGGGAGATGGCAAGGGACGTGCTGGGGTGCAGTGGGGATACTGATACAATGGAAAACACATTCACTGCTGCTGGAAGCCCAGGTGCAGAGCTGAATTCTCCTACAATTTACATGAATTCACCATACACTTGTATTTACACAGGGAAAATCGACTCTGGAGACAAACATTGGAGGCAAGGAGTAAGCAAATTAGCTACGTATAGGGAATTTGTGAGGTAGGAAGCAGTTCTCAGCTTCCCACTTATATTTTTGGCAGGGACACAAAGGAAAGGAGAAATTAGAAAATAAGCATCCTCAGAAAGGATTAGGATTGAGTTTACATTTACTGCTATTTTTTCTCTAAAACAGAATACACAATCAGACAGAAGAATGTTACTTCAACAGTCCTATACAAAATACTTAGATAAACAAATGCCCGTTGTTGTGTTTATACATCTTAAAGTGCCCAGCTGGTTAAAGAAAAGGTAGGCAGACAATTTCATATTATTTCCATTGATGCTCTTCTCACATTCTGTATTAGGAGATACTGCCAGCCCTTAAAAATTTCAGGCAGCCTACCAGGCAACCTCCTTCAAGTTTTGACCAGAAACACCAGTTAATGAGGACAGTGTTCTGTGGATTAGCTGCAGGGCACTTCTAATAGTCCCCCAGACCATGGCTTAGAAACTATTAACCATAAAATACAAGTTGGTTCTTCCTCTTCCCTTCCCTCAGCCACCAATGTCTAAGGAAATAACCTGCATAAGAAAATCTCTATCTCATTACTGTAATGTAAGTGGTGTTTTACAGAAGATATGAACATTTTAGTAATGATGACTAGAAATAATATCCAAAAATGATTTATCAACAAACAGCATCTCTTCTTACTGCTTCCTTTAGGAGTAATAGCATATAATTAATTGTTTTGCTCAGAGGAAAGACAAGTAACTTTTTAGGCCCTGCCACGTGCACACACATGGATGGGGGCTATTCTCCAGGAACAACACAATTAAGCTACAACTCAGATAACTCTGCCTCATACATGTTAGAGTAGAAACAGGAGCCAAAAAAGAGGAATGAAGGAGAAATCATGCCCTGTAACAAGAGAAGTGGTTTAGATCACTATAATCATAACATAGTGGTTACCTAGGGTTAGCTTTTTTCCTTCTTTTCTATCTGCTAATGGACACATACTGAAAAATCAACTGTGATTTTACACAGGTACACAAAATCTTAACAGGAACTACATGTACCTTCAAAACTTACTTGAGCATCAGACTAATAGGTGCTATGCAAAATATGTTATCCCTTCCCCAAAGAGCTTGTAACATACAAAATCAAATGCAAACAACTTTCACCAAACTAAGCTGAAGATTTACTTCTACTTTAATCAAGAATTTGGCATTCCAATAGGTAGGACCACAAATTTTCAGCTACCAGACTCATATCCATAATGTTTATTCCAATCTGTCTTCGATCACTCAGTAAGACTAATTTTACTCTTCCAACCCCTAACTTCTTGTGGCAAGCAATCACAGGGCTTGTCTTACTAAAGCCCAGAGCACACAGTGGGCAGATGTGATGCACGGACCCACAGCTGCTGCTAGTGACTGGGAAGCCCAGCACACACAGCAGCAGCTATGCAAAGAGAGGTGCCAGAAAGTCTCCTCCTACATTCCCTGTGCTACTGTGCTTCCAAGAGTTTGTCCACACAACATGGATAGGAAGGGAATGTAGACTGCAGGATCCAAAATCCAGAATATTGGAAGTCAAGAGGCTCCCATGACTAATTAGAAATCCAAACATACTACTAAATCACTGGCACAGACAGATGCTCCCCTGGAGCTCTGAAATCCACCAGAAGGAAAGGAAGAGCAATTGGAATGGCTTTTTTACAAGACCAATCCTGGAAGAAAAGTATAGTGTAGGTACTGAAGAGAGTGAACTCCAGCAGGACCTTGGGAGCCTCAGGCACACCTTGGAACAGGGACAACAATATCTTCTCAGACCAGCTTTAGTGACTGTGCCAGTCCATCTGTCACACTTATTTTTGTTACACTCTTAACAAACTATATGGAGAACCAAACAGTGGCACAGGGATGCATTCTGCTGACTATTTTCAGTACAGAAAATATTATTATCCAAGTTTCAGTAAAAGAAAATAAACCCAGAATGTCAATAAATATCTGAAGCTATCTGGCCGCTAGAAGGATGTTTATAATACTTATTACCATCCTTCTCTCATCTTTACTATGAGTGGCACTTCAAAAGTAACACAACAAACCACCCCAGAGCAGCCAGCCTGCAACTACAAAGGGCTGTCCCATAGAGCAGCTGCTCTGTTACGCATGGTATAAATAAATGCTAAACATTAAGGGATCAGTCGACAAGAGAACAAATCTGTCATGAGAAACATAGATAAACACTATGAAATCATTATGTACATTCCAAACAAAGTAATCTCAATTCTACAGCACTGGATATAAGTAAGCTCCACTGAAGTCTGTGGTTATTGTAGATGGAGTGCCCTGTGTCTCCCATTTTCAAAGTTTTACTGTCATTCCTGCATATAAAACACTGTCAATCACTAACACATTCAGGCAGAATTTCTGGTGTCAGTGTAGCAGGACTGTGAAGGAAAGCAACCCACCAAGAAACCTCTTTAAAAACCAGCAGATTAAAACACACATCAATTCACATATGAAAAAAAACACTGACATAAGTTGCCAGTTCAGTTCCACACAGGACTGACATTTGATAATTTTTGATTTACGACCTTCTAAGCCTCTTCTCCAGTGCATGCAGACATCCATATAAAGTTGGTGCAAATCTACCAAGCATGTTGTTCTTCTCCCTTTTCACAGGCCCTTAAAAGCAATTCCTCAGACTTCCATGGCTTAACACAATTCCCATCTACAGGCTTGTGGCCAGATCACAGAGGAGTGCAGCTGCACTGGCTACTATCTCTGCAATGGCTCCTTCCAGTCACTGCTACCCACAGTCATTATGACTTAGAAATTATGCCAAATCAACTATCAGTCATCCAGAACTCCTGCTCTCCTTCATCTGGCAGTCTTTTTGCCATTCCCCAAAGTGATCTGGAAGTCCTCCTTTGGTGAACAGTTTCGTCCCTAATTTCCAGACAGATCCATGTCCCATTCTGAGCTGTATTTGTGTTCTCTGTAATCATATTATTATGTTTTTATCACCACCTATATGCTGTAGGATTATTTATAATTTTTCTGTTGTCAAATCATGGTGCTTTTGCTAAAGGTCCTTATACTTTTATGAAGAACTTGTTCTTCCCAAAGGGATTAGGATTATGTGGCCCAATTACTACTGGTAACCTCTTTGGAAACTTAAGATTTAAGATGCTAACTTTTGGATACTACTTACTAGGTTTATTTCAAGTGCAATGTAGGCTTCAGTTATCCTCATTTCTGATTTGCAATTCACACATTCATCAGAAAGATGGCATTATCTACAGCAGAAGAAATACTATTACATCTACCACCCCAGGGTATACTAGGGTAAGTTTAGCTTAAAATCTACCATGCTAGAGAGCTCTAAACTCACAAGAGTATATTCAAGTGTGCAGGGCACAACATCCTCCTTGTTCCCCTCCTTTTGCTTTTTTAAACTGAAGCTATTAAAAGTAGCACCTCTTACAGTTATTCAGATGAAGAATTAAGAATAATGAAGCGAGCTCAAGAGCAGCAACAGCACAGGCAGTAGCAGAATAGGCCATTGCATCCCCAGGAAGGTGAAGCGTGTCCAGGGGTGCCTTGGGCACAACATGGCCAGCCGGGCAAGGGAGGGGATTGTCCTGCTCTGCTCTGCACTGGGGCAGCCTCACCTCCAGTGCTGGGGCAGTTTTGGGTGTCACAGTGTAAAAAAAAAACATTGAGCCATTAGCGAGTGTCCAAAGGAGGGCATTAAGATAGTGAAAGGCTGAAAGGCCTTGAGGGGCAGCCATCTGAGGAGTGGCTGAGGTCACTTGGTCTGCTCAGCCTGGAGGAGACTGAGGATGGACCTCACTGCAGTTACAACTTCCTCGTGAGGATAAGAGAAGGTGCAGACACTGATCTCTCCTCTGTGGTGGCCAGTGACAGGGCCTGAAGCTGAGCAAGGGGAGGTTTATGTTGAGCACTAGGAAAAGGTTCCTCACTCAGAGAGTGGCTTGGCACTGGAACACAGAACACGTCCCCAGGGAAGTGGTCACAGCACCAGCCTGACAGAGGCCAAGGAGTGTTTGTCTCGGGCTCATGGTGTGGTTCTTGGGGTTGTTGCTGTGCTGGGCCAGGAGCTGGGCTTGGTGATCCTTGGGGTCACTTCTAACTCAGCAGGTTCTGTGATTCAACATGAGAGCAATGACACAGCCCAAAAGAACATCAGCCAAAGCACAGCACTATCTTGGAAAATATTTCGATAAACTGAAGATCTCCATTACTGGGATAGGTGACTCATATTAGCCTGCAAGCCAGCAAGTATCCAAAGGGTGACAAAAATTCATCTTTAAGACCCAAATCAAAGGAGTGGAGCATGAAGCAGACTTCTGAGCTGCTTTGGTTTGCTGTTTTAAAAATAACTTTGTGAGGAAAATTTAGGGGGAAACTGAATCTTTGGGTAATGTGGTTAGGGTCCTGCTAACAAGCAGTAGTGTTTGATGAAAGTTGGCAGATGTTTCAGCCATAGCATAGATTAGACTAGAAAAGAATACCACATAAAAGGCAGGAATTTTATTGGATAGAAATGTGAATATAAAGAAATGCAAGGAAAAAAATAAATGCATGCAAGTCCCAGAACCAAATGCCTATCAATCAAAAGAATCTCTTCTGACATTTATAATTGTCTTTCAGAACACTGCAACAAAACCACAGTATTTTCCAACAGATATGTAAAGTGCAAATAGAGTGACTAAACAGAATCAAAGCTACTTTATCACTGGTGCTTAACACACACAATGTTACCCAAGTGGTGATTATAATATTGAGCTCTGGCCATGACATTCCTAATGCTATGTGACCTCCAGTTTCTGCTAATGGATGTTATATTAAAATTATCACACATACACACACTCATTCTTCATACAGCCACATGAAAGAACAGGTTTTCTTTGTAGGGGAAAATAATTAAGATGGCTATAATAAAATAACATAAAATTCTGGTTTTCTAATATTAAATTTTCTAATATTTTCTAATATTAAATTATGTTTTTATAATATTCTCCAAGACTAGGAACTTGTCCCCGTCCAAACACAAAAGCAACAAGGTAGTTATTACTTCAACATGCTGTAGAAAGTGAAACATTTTTATCAACTGGTGATTGCACTGGTATCTTTCTGCACTCTTCAACTTTTCATTATATCAAGAATCATAGTGAAATATTCCAGCTATGTAATTTTCATGGTCAAATGAAAAAAAAAGATTTTTCTCCAAGTGCATTTGTTTTCAAAGATGCTTCATTATTTTCTCATTTTTCTTTCTCCTTCTCCCCATGAATGCTGCTCATCAGTTTCCCATCAAAATATCAATACCAAACTGCCCAGGCACAAAGTTAGCTTGCACTAATTCTACGTTCTTTAAGCTTTTGGAAAAAAGCTCACTAGGGTAGGTGTACATTTCTCTCACAGCCCATCAAAGCTTCATTTAGTCCATGAAGCCATTATGGCAAGACAGGGTGGCTGGGAAACTTCTTTTGAAAATGCATAAACAGATGAAAGGACCCTCCTATGATTTTGAGTGGCACAAACTGTAATACAGATTAGAATGGCCACAGCAAAGCACCTTTTTTCCACAAAAAATGCTGGGCTGTGGGAATCATGAGAACATCCATATAAAAGAAATACAGAAAAAGGACACTTCCCTGTAAGAACAAAGTGGAAAATCATAGTAAATCTGTGACTTAGAAGATGAACCTGCCTCCCACTGTGCTCAGAAGCAGCTCAACAATGCACTGCAGCTTGTTTGCAACACTAGGTAAAATCGTGACTATAGCCAGATCTCAAAAAGAAAAAAACCACCAAAATATATAAATGCAGATAGAGTAGAACAGTTAACATAAAGAAATGAATGTTTGCTAGAATGCCTTTATGGATCAGACCCTGGCTTGAACTCTGAAAGTCAAGCACAGTTGCTGAAGAGAAGCATGATCAGCACAGTATGGAATTTGAAAGTTGGAGAAGGGCAGGCGTCATAAGCCATACTTACCTCTAGTGTCTGCATTAGTGTGGGCTTAATTGCATCTTTCATCAGAACTGCCAAAGCACCAGTTACGCCCTAAAAGACAAGAGTCCACATTTTAAGGAAGTCAATTATAAGGTGCAGCATTTCCAAGTTACACTCACAGTTAAAAAACCCTTACAGTTCAAAGCAGTGTTGCAGTGATGCATAAAGAATTTATTTGAATATTACCTAAAGACTTCTAAAATTCTGTATTTACAGTGTGTCAAAAACAAAAGTGGTTTTATTCCAAATACATTTAAAAGGCAACAGGTAATTTCTTTGTCCTATTTCATAGAAAGATCAGAAACAGAATTAAGCAATCAGCATGAGGATGTTGAAGGTAACAAAAGATGAAGTGCCAAAGGCCACTGAGACCTGAGAAAGCAAGAAGGCAACATCTTACTAAAACTGCCAAAAGAAATGACAGATGTGTCTCTTTTATGATAGAATCCGGAGCATAGAACAATAGCTAGCAACAACCAGAAAGGGTATTTTTCAAGACTTGTACAAATACATACATAACAGATACAGGATGAAAGCAGCTGTAGAGTTTACCAGGGGCAGATAACAAATGTATCACACGATTAAAAGTTAGAGGTGCCTTACTATGATGATGATATCTCAAAAGAAGCTGAGCAAACTGCTGTATTTTGGTTGTAAAAAGCCTTACTCCTCCCTAAAAATTCTGTTGAAGTATAAATGTCATACTGACTGACCTTAAAATAAATAGAAGTCATAACAACCCTTTACACCAAATTTCAATGCTCATTCTAGAAAACAAAAAAAGAGTACAGAGTGTGCACATCACTATCAGATTATATGAAGAGTGCTATCTAGAAACCACCAGCATATTTTCAATTTTATTATTAAATTACTTTGATTTTGAGATTATGGTTTTCATTTTGAAAGAACTAGATCATGGTTCAAAAAAACCACAGTAGTGTTATAAAGAGTGGCTCATAGATTTGCCAGAGAATGCAAATAAAAAGAATATATTTTTGTATTGAAAAGAAACATGAAAACCAAACAAAAATCCTAGCTGCTGTAAAGTGTTTAAAATGAAGATTGAAAAACATGGGTACAATATCCAAGTTGCCTATAAAGAGATGAACAATAATATTCAAATAAAGAAATGCAATAAAAATAGTGCCTTTATAATTCCCAACACAGCTTTTGTCAACTAAGCCCAAATTTGAGCAATCAAAGTCTGCATGAAAATTTTGATGGCAACAGATACAACATAAAAGTATGTGATGATTAAGTGCAGTATTTTATAAAGTACAATCTTCCCCTTTCTGAGCATCATGTCTGAGCACAGACTTCAGAAGAAAATGATGCAGAATATTTGGCCTTAGATAAAACTGAACTGAAACCAAAATAGTAAAACTGGCTTCTACTGATGCATACCAAGTGTTTCCTTCAAGGACTGTGAAGGAGAGAGAGAGAAGGAAAAGATTTCTCTTTGCACTCTGCATCTCCCACTATTTACAAAACCCAATGGATGCACAAGGATATGAGAAACTGATAGCAAAACAGCATAGTTTTTCATCTTCTGAATTAGACTGCTCTTTCTTAGGATGTTAATTTTAGAAGCTAGGATTTAAATGCAAGGAAACATAACCACTCCAGCTCTTTCAAAATGGGTGAGACTCCACCACCTCCATAGAAACAGCCTGGTACTCTGTTGTTTATCTACCCAAATACTCTCATTTCTAGAAGAAAAAAAACCCACAAAATTTTACATCTGGTCTTTCAAGTGGTCAGCAGCAGGAACAACTACATGAGCAGCCACAGATCAGCCCTACTGGAAAGAAGACTTGGAAGAAGAAGCGAAAAATAAAATCAGGACACGTCTCCCCTGCTCCTTCTAGATAATAATGGCTTAAGTCCTGTCTCCTTTGTTTTCTGATGTCTTCACCAATCTGATAAAAACAGTGAAGTAAAAAAACACTTCCTCTGCATTTTAAGTTTTTGGTAGATATCACTTATGCATTATTTGGGAAATAGTAGACACACCTTCTGGACACAAGAACTCATTTTATCTGAAGCTGAAAGCAAAGAAGAAAATACATAAATACTCCAATAGACATCTCTTGTGCCTGCCATGGTTCTTAACCAGGTTTGGTGTCAACAGCAGTCCTTAAAAGCTAAACAATAAGGTTTTCATACCTATCGGACACAACTGTGAGAATGAAGCTTTCATTTCCTTGTATACTCATCAAGATACTCCTCCAAGTATCTAATACACAATTCCCACAGCTCACTCCAAGTCCTGGATCTGATTCACAAAGCTACTTAAGGAATAAGATTCCTATTTCCTATTCAGAAAAGGTAGATAAGCTTCTTATAAAAGAATTAGGGGCTTTGACACACACCAATTAAGCTTGTGAGAGCCCAAAGATAATTAGATTTCCACTAACTCACTCTCAGAGGAAAGAAGCAGGGCTCTGAATCAATTATATACAGATGTTCAACTTTTCTGGGTTCCTTCCTGGAACCCAGGTATTCCTGAAAATAATGCTCCTTCCATCTATCCAGCAGCCGTCAGGACAGCACAGATCACAGAGCATAAAATAAACACGTGACACAGGAAAGGCAAACTTCAATGAAAATCCAAAATACTTCCAAAGCAACTTCCAATAGAGCAGTCTCTGAAGTCTATCAAGACTGGAAATGAAAGTCAACACCAGATGACAAGGAAAGTGATTGAAAGTAACTACTATGAAATGAATAAAGGCTACACAGACTGAAGGGCAGAGAAAAACCCTTTCCTTTATAAGAAAAATAACGAAGTACTGGCAACTTCCCTTCAGTTGAAACTATAGCCTCTAACAAAATAATAATACTTTCTGCAATTTCAGTCCTGTAAAAAAAACTAAACCTTAAACCATAACCTGAGAAGAACTACAACTCCTTTTGTTTGAAGTGAACACTGTACACAATATTTCTGATGAACCAGAGAACAAAATCTCACCAGCTGACACGTAAATGTACATAAGCAAATATGAAGCTTTTTTTTTTCTTTTTGTCCCAGAATTACTGAAAGCAAATGGTATGGCACAGCAAATAAACTGAGAAGAATTCTTATTGAAAAAAAATAGTGACATATTTATTCAATATTTTTCATATCTGCTGAAATACTGATCTAGGGCATATATACCGATTTAGCTTCACATTAAAATATGGCATGTGTCCATCAGAATTCTACCTCACTGAAAAAGCCAAAAAGCAATAAAGTCTTCAAAATACTGTACAATGAGCACCACATTTTGGCAAAGAGTTCAACAAATTCCATTACAGAGGATAGACATTTAATCCATTACTCTTGTGGAAAGAGTCTTCTCAATTCATGACATACTCAATTTATCTTTTTTCTATTATTCCTAGCCTGTCTCTGCATATGGTTTATATCTGCCAATGTGTATTATAGGTTTTACTATTTTATTGTGATAATTATATTGCATATAAAGTCAAAATTAAGAGCAATTTTATTTTTGTGAAGTATTTTGGGCGTACATCTGAAAACAAATCACAGAGAAAGGTTTAGTAGTTTTGGTTCACACAGATTTCAAAGAATTGAAGACTACTGTCAATATTTAAATGCAAAAAATTCAATCTGTGTTGGATATAAACATGAACACCAAATTTTTTTTTTTAAAGATAGGTAGAACTGGGCCATTATTCAGGTTGTGTGGTATTTTTCATGATAAAAGTGCCTTTAAAGTTTCTTAGTACTATATGCAATTGCAGTTCTTTGGACTAAAATGTTCCATGTCAATGGACTATGATGGATTCAAGCTTTTGAACTTGAATTTGTGTTACAAAAATAGAAGTCAAAATTATTGAATCTAGACTGAGAGCATTCTAACATCTTGTACAGTATTCTTCCTTTGTTCAGCTGTCTTGAGATCTTGCCTTACTGAACTATAGAGCCTTACCTCTTCACTGACCCTGACTGAAAGGTGGATGGAAATTTAGGAGCAGAATGGCTTCACATCAAACCTCTTGATGTGTGTGAAAATTTTCTCAAGACATAATCCTTGGATTATATCAACACAGGCAGCACAAGCTGCACTGCAGCGGAAGAGGGGAAGAGCACAGACTACATTTAAAGTCTAGAAATGGTAGGTTTAGTTGCAAGCTGCTCAAACAGACTGACCACCTGTGGGAAGAAACCAGCAAAGGAGACAAAATGCTACATGAAAGAACAGAAATTTATCTTCTTCATACATATGAATTATGACTTGTTATGATCTTTGATTATACTTCTCCTGCTGTTGTGCAGTATGGTTATTCATAAGCTCTGTCCTTTGTACAAAGTAAGCATTGTTTAATTTCATACAGAAATCATAGACTCCACTGTTAATTTCTTTTGACAGTTTTTAAACCCCAACACCACAGCATCTGACTTCTTCAGCAACACTATTTAGTCTTCAGAAACAAACACTTGCTCCTGTTCTTCAAAAGAGAAACCTGCACACACAAGAATCAAGCTCAAAAATATTCACCAATTTTGGATGCTCAGCCTGGGACAACAGAAGATAATTCCTCCTGGCTCAAAGTTCTTGATGGAGTTTCACTCTTTCCATAAATTTCAGTTGTTAAGCTCCCTAGTATTAAACCAGACTGAGGAATGTGGAACTCCTTATGTACTATAAGGATCAGTTTGTGTGGACAGAGCACCTCATGAATGTTTTGCTAAGAACACAGGAATAGAGCTCTCCAAAGAGATGCTTTACATCCCTAACCATTAAATCATATTCCTCTTATGCCCATGGTTCTTGTACTTGTTTTTAACATGCTGCACAACAAAAGAGGTAGGAGTTCCTGCAATTCCCAATCATGACATGCACCCAAGTCTTTCCTGTGCATGGTATGAAGAACCTCCAGAGGGAAAAGAATGCAGCAGCATAGCTTCAGATGTTCATAACACATGTCCTTCATACTGTGATGAGTTCTTCTTTCTGGGCAGGTTTTTTTTTTTTTGTTTTGTTTTGTTTTTAAATAATACAAAACACTGCTCTAAAGAACAACTAGAAACACATGTTCAGAACAAGCAAAACTATCAGATGATTGAGACACTAAGCATAAGAAGTTTCTTTTAAAAAAAGCCAAAGAAAACTGAATTAGTAACACATTTTGCTGAGCACTACTTTCATTTTAGGGACACAGTGGAAAAGTTCTAAAATTCTTTTGCCCCAATGGAAAAGCCATTTCTGTCATTCATTGAGCTAATTAGCATTAAGTGGTTAGCAGGTCAAATATTTTGCAGTACTAATAAATAAAAGTACCTTCATATAAAAGTAGTGTCAAAATTAAAATCACATACTACAAATGCAGTTTTAATTGTAACACTAAATAATTTAAAAGTATTTGCATATGCCTTATAATGTAACTTATTCCCCATTCCCCTCCACTTGGCCAAGACAAAGTTATACAATTGAAAAGCAAAAGCAAAATTTTAACAGCTAGAATATTACATGCAATTCTTCATGTCTTCTGCTTAATTGGGAATAGATTATTTACTTTGAATTTCAATGCTGACTGTAGTAAGAAATTTTAAACCTTATCTTAATTTCATTCTTAAATCCTCTAGATATCATGTTTTCATTTCTTTATTAAACTGGAATCTACTAAGGCTGTGAAGGTGCTCCTGATTTGCAGATATGCTATCTTTGCTGACAGGGCAAGATACGCATTGCTTTACTCATTTATTACACAGTAAGTTTGAGCAGATGTTCACAAAACAGGGAGAAAGGAGAAAACATACAGAGCCTGTATGACACAGGCAGCCATCACCGATGGGCTGGCATTAGACTGCTCCTGGAATGCAGCTGATTACAAACATCAGCTGGCAGCTTCTGGCTGCACCAGAACCTGCCACACATAACCACATGTGAGCTTCCAACCACTGTTCAATGACTTATGACCCAGATACAAGGGACAGAATGTTATTTAAAGAAAAAACATACTGATTTTTTTCAGAAGCTGAAGTAGGGAATGAGGAAACAGCAACTAGTGAAGGTAAAAAAGAAAAAAAATCTAATGACAGATGAACCTGTCCCAAGCACTATCAGTAACCTTTGAATTAAGAACAGCTTGTTCCCATTCTGATTCAGTGGTACAGGCATTCATGTGGTAACTATCACTGCAACATCTGAGCAGACTCTAAAAGCACAGTAGCAAACATTACCAGCTCTCTCAAATAAGAGCCCGCACTTTGACTCCCTCCAGCACTGAATTTGTTTGCCTTAAGAATTGCAGAGAATGATCCAAGTAGGTTATGGAGACCAGAGGCTTTTTGAACCAGATGTTACCAGAGTTGAAGAAATGAGTTCAACATCTTGTTCTCATTCTCAAGCAGGTTTTGGCCCAGAAGATGATCTTTCTTTGATATCTGACTGTGCTGTTCAAAGCAAAATCTTTGGCGTGTACCTGCCTTTTTAATGCTTCAAGAGGCAAAACAAATATGTTTGAGGTTATTCACAGGTCTCTACAGCACTGAACATACCAAATCCTCTGCTGTTACTGGTTCTCCTTTCTTGTCATTAGCCACCACCATTCTCCCCAGTCTTTCTTTCATATCTTGAAGGCTGGTGGTAAGTGCCAAGATGGCCATAATCTCACTTGCAACAGCAATATCAAACTGAGCCTGTAAAGCAGAAACGAGAATCATGAACCAAATCAAAGTCAGCTGAAATACTCACAGGGGATCATCAGGAATAAACTCAGGAAAGATAAATTTCACACTGGAATTCAAACAAGGTCTAAATAGTAACTTACAGCTTTTGAGATTACTCAAGACTAGAGTAACTTGTACGTACAGACTGGGCAATGAGCTGTGCGAAGGAAGAGCCGCGGAAAGGGACCCGGGGGTCCTGGTCAGTGGCAAGTTGAACATGAGCCAACAGTGCCCTGGCAGCCAGGAGAGCCAACCCTGTCCTGGGGGACATCAGGCACAGCACGGCCAGCCAGGCAAGGGAGGGATTGTCCCACTCTGCTCTGCTCTGCACTGGGACAGGCTCACCTCCAGTGCTGGGGGAAGTTTTGGTGCCATGATACAAGAAAGACATAAAAATATGGGAAAGCATCCAAAGAAGGGCTGCAAAAATGGTGACAGACCTTGAGGGGATACCATATGAAGAGCAGCTGAGGTGACTTAGTCTGTTCAGCCTGGAGAAGAGACCTCACTGCAATCTAGTTACCTTATGAGGGGAAGATGAGGGGCAGACACTGATCTCTTCTCTCATGACAGGACCCCAGTGAATGACCTGAAGCTGTGTCAGGGGAGGTTTAGATTGGATATTAAAAAAAGGTTCTTCCCCCAGAGGGTGGCTGTGCACAGAGTCCCAGGGAAGTGATCACAGAATCAAGCCTGACGGAGTTCAAGAAGCATTTAGACAATGTTCTCAGGCATAAGGTGTGACTCTTGGGGATGGTCCTGCAAAGGGCCAAGTCTGACTTTGATGCATCCCTTTCAACTCAAGATTTTGTACAATTCTGTGAACTTCAAACACTTTATATTCCCTGATTAATATTCTCCACTAGACCACATTTATTTGAGGACCAGTGTTACAGACTGTTTAGCCCCTTGGCTCACATTATCCTTAGAGAAGCTCCCTGAAGGATCAAGAATTTTCTTTCTGTGGCAGAAACAGGAAATCACCAGATGTTTTTTGAGCTTTACTGGCCTGAGCAAAGGAACACTGCATTGTAAAGGGTTTTTAATTTTTTTTTTTCTGTAATGATCTCCAACAGCTTTTTATTCTGGTTTCAAAAACATTCTTGTTACATTTGATCATTCTTTTTCTACTTAAGATCAAAATTTAGAGTCTGTGCTCTTAAGTCTTGTATTTGACCTATGAAAATGTAAAATATATCTTTGTCCTTCTTTTTAATTAAATGAACAAATATGTAAGTCAAAAAGCATAAAGAACTATATGTGGCATCAGTTCTATTGCTCTTGTAGAAACACACTCATACTGTGCAGCATTTCAGCACAATGTAAGCAATAGTTTTTACTTTTCTTTAAGAGTATAGATTAGCAGCACTTGCACTAATGCACTATTAGTAAAGCTCAGGCCACATGCTGTCAGAACATGAGACAAACAGAGAAAAAAAAGAAAAGCCACTAATGTATTATGTGATATAAATGCAGTGCTGGCAGTGATCAAGAACTGCAATTTTTTTTTGTAATCTCTCAATCCCCAGCAATTAAAGTCTACATAAAGTTTAGTAACTGACATCCTACTGCTATCTGTGTAAGAAAAAAGCTCAGGACTGTTCCTATCAGACCTCTGGCAGATGTATCCTATACTAATACCAGAGGAATCTGTTCAAATTGAGAGCTTTGTCTGTTTTTTAAGAAGTATCTACATAGAACATACACCCTATCACTCTTGTGCATTTTCCTAGTACTTTAAGAGCTTCTGCCCTCTTTTAACCCATGTTCCTGCTTTTAGTTTCTGATAGCTAAAGCTCAGAGCAGCCCTATTCAGGCTGACCTCTAGGTACCCACTTGTTTAGTCAAAAGTTCTGAAGACAACTGAACACTTTTCTGCTGTGGACATAGGCAGAGAGTCCTACATATCATGGAAAAGAAAAATAATTCTGTAACTGAGATTTTCAGCATAGTGATTCAAGTGAAATGGTGAAATTACAAAACAGATTTTCTGTATTCCTCAGAAGCAGTTCTATATGCAAAGAACTTCATTAGCATTGTGATGACATGGATTCCACTATCTGTTCTAAATTTGACAATGTCCTCAGTAAGTCATTGCAGCATATGTAAGACAAGAAATCAGTGTCCAACCCATATAATGAAATACTTCTGATTTATCAGAATGTTTATCGGAAGACCCACAAAAAAAGTTTTTATAATTGTTTTTATAAAAACCTAAAAGGACAGGAAAAACATCTTAGGTAGATGCTCAAAGAGTGACATAAATTTAATTGAAGAAACAGGAATGAAAGATTGTAGTAGCAGGTGCTATTTTAACTCTAAATAACCTTTATACACCTATGAAGTGCTGACAGAAGTCTTAGCTGCAAAGTCAAGTTTTTATTGATGAAAGGGTCCACCCACATGGATTCAATTGTAGGATCAAGGGCATCAGTCATGTAATACTCTTCAGAAACCACAGCATCCCTGTTCATTAAAATACAGACTTTTGTGCCTGCTGTGCTCCACCGTTTTACACAGGTGTCATTGATTTTAAGAGTGCTAGAACATCACTCCAAATATTTATAAAATGCATCTGTTAACTATGAAGTCCTGTTTTCTCTGGATCTCTAGCTAGGCTCTGAAATGACTTTTCCTAACTGCTAACTCTATTTCTTGAGTCACTAAGTCCATGTTAAGATGTGAATGGATATGCATCAGTACAACATCTCAATACTGAAAGCATTAATTTTACCCCAAAAAGTACAGAAGCAACATTTGATAGCAATATTGTCAAGTACTACTCTATAATAAAATAAGCCACATTTAACTCAGCAGTACAATTACAGTGGTAAAACACTATATAATAAGGCTGGCAGAACCCAGCTGAAGACTAATAATCATATTGAGTCACTGAAACAAATCTAAACATATGAAAGTGTTGAAGGAACTCACCCCAAATATAATATTTTGTAGTCCAAGCCCATTGTCAGAAATGACTATTAGATAATACTGAATTTCCTGTGAGCTGCAGACAGAAAAATTTCTATTTTGTGCATTCAAAACCGAAGTAAGTGACCATTTCTAGTGGAAGGCGTCCCTGCTGAGGGCAGAGGGGTTGGGATTGGATGATCTTTAAGATCCCTTCCAACCCAAACTGCTCTAGGATTTTTGATTTCTCTTTGAAGTTCTTCTCTCCAATTTGGCTTTGCTTTTCCTGCTCCAAAAAATACAGCACTGTGCTTTGGTCTCTTTATTTAGGCATATGTAAACAAAAATGTTGAAGAAATGGTAAAGAAAAAAAAAGTGAAAGCCTTATCTCTACCACAAGAGCTGTTCACATCAAAACAGTCAGAACCTCATGAATTTCATGATCCGGAATGTTAGATTACAAGATCTTCATCAAATTAGGAACCATTCCACATCACCACAATGAATTTACTCCTCCTGATGCTGCTGTTCCATGCTGGGCATTTCAGAAATTAATTTATCTCCATTACACCAGGAACACTTGCTCAGGTGATGTTGGGAAAGTCTGGCTTTCAATTTATCGGTAAATTCTTTACTAAAATTCTATAATCTCTCATTTAGTAATGCAGGTTAGCTTTTTACACCACTGCAAAGTACACACATACTCATTTGCTGAACTATCCCTTCAAGCCCACATAGCAAAAGCAAGCACATGCTCAAATTTCTTACAGTTCAGATTCCAAAGTTGAGATGCATGAGAGGGAAATGAAAACTCTGAATAAAAAGCTTATTTTAAAACAATTTTTGAAATTAAATTTAAATGTAATTTGAATTACGGGTGTCCTATATAAATTGCTACAGAGATTAAAAAAGAATTAAAAGTCACACAAATTAGCTTTATGAGGGCAGAGAGGCATCTTGTCATAGGACAATGTTAAACCCCCAACACATGCAATTTTTAAGTGCTTTTGACACATTGTAGAATATGCATTGGTTTCTGTTTCTGAAAATTCAGATTCAGTTGCTCATTAACATGATCAGTTTCACCTCTGTAACAGCAACAGATGTCATTATTGCAATTTAAAGTATGCTGAAAGAGCTGCAGAAGCTCTCTCAGCCTCTAATGCAAAATCTGTACAGAATGTGATTTATTCATGCCTTTACCCACCTGACGGACAAATCCTTTCTCCGTGTTTGCCTGCCCAACTGTTATTTTGCGCAGGAATCTGTCATTTGTATCCACAACTAAAATAAGGGAAGAGCAAAAGCAAAACATGTTAACAAGGACTCAGGAATATGGGTTTTTTCAGGCATACCTGTTACACACATGAGATTCAACTGCTCCAACAGCAGAACCAGATGGCAACACTTCTGCATATCAGCATTTGCACTGACTTGGTTGCTCCCTTCTAGCTGATACCGTTTGATGACAGGTTAAAACAACTCAAATACAGTTTATTTGAACAGCATTTAAAACTAACAGAGTCTTGGTATTCTAACATACTATTTAGTATTTTACCTATGTGAGAAAAATCAGTCTTGGTAGATACAAAGCACCAGATCTACTTCAAATCATCTGCTTCATCACTGACTTGTTAAGAACTGACTTTAAGACTGCATGATGTTGGTCAGATTTGGTCAGTTCCTCTTTTAAAGGATGATTATGCTGTCAGATTGGTTCTTCCAGACAAGCAGCTTTCACAAACATCACTGTAACTAACTCCACATTCAGCTGCACAGCATGAGGACAAACAGAGGGCTGGAGCACCTGTTATGAAGACAGGCTGAGAGAATTTGGCCTGTTTAGCCTAGAGAAGAGGGAGCTCTTGGGAGACAATATAGCATCTCCCAGTACCTAAAGGGTCCAAAGAGCAACTTTTTCCAAGGGCATGTAGTGATAGGACAAGGGGATATGTCAGTTCCTACTGAAAGGAAAAATAGATTCTCTTTTTCTTACAGATTTTATAGCCCTAGAAATGCTTAAGTTTACACCAACCCTAAAATAAAAGATGCAAGGTACTCTTGATAAATTCGGCCTGTAGCTTGGTAATGAACTCCATCTTTTGGTAGATTTGAGTCCTGTTCATTTATAAGTGGAGAGTCCAGGAACCTCCAGAAAAGTTGTCAGCATTCAAGGTAAAAGAGCTCTTTCCACTTTTCCTGCTGCTTTTGGAAATTAAAAAAATCTGTCTGTACAGAAAAAGATGACATAATTACCCAATAACAAGAGGGACTTTGAATGCTAATGAAACCTGAATTCAGAGTTGTGAGTGACCTGGGAGAAAACCAAGATTTAAATCACTGTCCCCCTTCTTGGGGCTGTTGTAAATACCGCACGTATCTTTTCTCCTCTGCTCGGTCTTTAGGTCCCTAATTTCTTCAGGAATTCCACTTAAGGGATGGTGCAACACAGATTTGGCCAACTCATTTTGGCTTCTATATATACATACAGTCATACTCTAAAATACTACACTACTGGCAGCAGTTGCAGAGCATGGAAGCTGTAGCCTTGCACCAAGCTGTGGTACCATATGGCACAATGAAGCCATATGGCAAACTGATCTCTCCTACAGAATTCTCCCTTCTTTTCCTCGGAAGCTCAGTCTCACAATACAGCTTAGGCAGACCTAAATGTCTTCCCTGTCTATGCAGGCACTCCTAAGGGCAAGAACTCACCATCCCACCAGCCTGGACAGTGAGCTGATTTTTTAGCTGCACCTTCCTTGTGAAATCATGTAACCTAAACACCCTTACCATGAAATTGTAACTGTTCCTGTAACTCCTGGTCACTGAGATATACTTACTTTCTCACTGTGGTCACTCACTCTCCAAGAAGATTCCAATAGCTGCACTAAGTAGTAATAAAACAAGAAATAACTGGCTTTGCCATAAAAGCAATTTTTCCTTCTGCAAATCTTCCTTCTTCCTTTACCCAAAGTAAACCTTTCACTAAGGTTTAGGTTCAAATAAGTGTTGGGTTTAATGTATCCACTTCCTTATCCTCTAGAGATGTAAACAGAATCTGACTATCAGAGAAACACAAATAAGGGGGAAGCTTTCTCACTTTTCAGTATATTGTACGTTTTCAAGTCAGTGTAAGCTGACAATGAGCGGAACACTTGTGATACTTCTATGGGAACAGGTCCTGACTAAAATTAATTAATCTTTTCAGAAGATCTGATAGCTTAGCTCCTTTTCCCTACAAATTCCCTGGTATGTAACAAGCTTCACAGACATATGGACTGCAGAAACAGTCCTAAATAAAACATTCTCAAAGTTATCTAAACCATTCCTAAATCCAGGTTTTTCTTCTAAAATGTTTAAGGTATGTACATCATAAAGAGCTGTATGGAACAGAAATTTCACTAACATTGTTTGAGATTAATTAAATAACTCCCTTGAGGTTAACAGCTGTTGAGCAATGTTGGCTTCTCCCAAACCCATGCTGATAAAAAAGAGGAGTCATATTACATTAAACATTTATATTACTTCTTTATCCTAGTACAGGTCTCTTCCAGACACACTGTGTGACTAATAAAAAACATCTTACACCACATCCCCAGAATTATCTTGAGAAAACTATCTCAAGTCTGAGATGACATGCACACAAAGGGCACAGTAAAGCATGGCCAAGACTCCTCCCTTCTCAATAGATTCACCCTTTTTTCTGAGCATCACAATATATTCCATTTAACAGTGATAACTTCAGTGTTTGAGAACTAGAAAAGAAAATAAAATCCAGTGGTATTTAGCTCAGAACTTTATGAAGAGTTTACTTCCCTGAAGAAAAAGATAGGTATAGAAGTTGAGGTAAACACTGAAATTTGACCCAGCATTAGAACTGGAAAAAGCGGAGGGTAGTTATCTAAGGGTACCAAAGTGGGTATCAGTTTGATTGCAACAGCACCACATTGTTCATCTCTTTTTCCAAATGAAGCAAACAACTCAAGAGACTTCAAAAATCAGAAAAACACCTAATCCATTAAGCCTATGAAGTCTGTTGAGCTACCCAGACTGCTGAGCTTGGGAGGATGACGGACCAAAATCAGAAAGAATAAATACAAATAATCTAGAACCATAACAGACACAGTTAAAAAAAGAATGGCTAAGATTTGCAAAATGCACAGAAAAGACACATTCAAATGTCTGGAGAGGTATTACCTGATATGAGAGCGACTGGGAATGTATTTAAACTGTCAAAGAAACCTATCTTTCAGAATTTTAGCAAAGTCTCTTGAGTTATTGCAGACACTTGACCAAGTTTAGAGCAACATGCTGCACCTGCATTTCTTATGAACCCACACTTCCCACTTGCAAATTGGTTATTCTTACTGTCAGAGAAGAAACAGCTCTGATTCAGGTAAAATTAAGCAAATTAGGAGATTAGTTATGATTAAATCCAAGATAAAGTGAGGCTTTCTGACTACATACCTCTTTGCCATGTTATGGTGGATGGGTCAATATCAAGGCGCACAAACTTGCTGATCTCCTCTTCTGTTAAAGCCTCAGGATCAGTCTTGTGTATTCCCAGCCTCTACAGAGACAAAGTTCAAGAAGTGCAATGAAATGGCTTATTTGTTTCAAATGGTGTAGCTGCTCTGGCTTATCAACCCCACTATGTAAGTGCGGTGTTTCAATCTTAATAATCTCCTGTTTTGAGAAAATGCAACATGATCCCACAATGATTTCTTTACTACTGACATCTTGTTAGATATAAGGAATCATCACACTGAGAATAATTCACAGCAAAATAATTAAATTATATTGGAAATTATGATTCATGTATTTGAATCTTAAAAAGTCAAACTTTTATTTTCTAAATTGCAGCTCATGTGAAGAGAAAACTCCTTTTCAAATATAGAGATAGTTAGTACATCATGCATAAAGCAAACACTCCCCCTCCTTCCCTAACCTGTTTTCTGTAACAGTGTAGACAAGAACAAACTGAAAATATCCCAAAATTCCAATGGAACAATCTCTGACCCTGACTCTGCCTTAGAGTCAAGCAGGTATCAACCTCATTTTAGCTGACTGACATTCAGCTGAGCAGCAAAAAAGCTTAAAATGTTATGAGGACTCTTTTACCCATCACCAAAACAGAAGCTATCTCTATCCTTCTTTCCACCCTCAAATTCCAAGTGTGCACTTGGCAGCTGCCTGTTGCTATCCCATGACTGAAAGATGGTCAGTCAGGGCTCAGAAGCCAACAACAAACATGGAACTGGTCACAGAAGAACTAGAGCTGTCCTTAGGGGTCATATTTAAGAGGTTCATATCCTCTTTCTCCTACACTACTGTTCCTCTCTAGGTTTTTATCAGAATAGCATTCTCAAATCCAGACATGTTGTATGCACATGAATTGCACAGGAAGCTCTTCTGGAAGCATTCAGGAAGCAAGATGGGATGCAAAAATACACTGAGCATACAAATATACCCCTTGAAGGAAGAACACTGTCAAATTTATATCAATAAAACCCCAGAAGTATATGCTATATTAAACTTTCAAAATCAGAAAATATTGCAAAACCTAAGAATGTAAGCTTTCAAATATAACTATACCATAATTGGAAAAGTATTAAAAAATTCTAACTTTAATATTTCATCAGAAATATTTAGCATTTAAAAACACTACTGGTTTATTTCAGGAGAAAAGAATAGCAAAAATGTTAGTTACAAAAATAATATCAGGCTCAGATCCTATTACTCTAAGGATGATGCTTTCAGAAAAATATCTAAAATTGATATATTTATAAGAGTTTAAACAAACTCAGTCCCATACATCAAAAAATTTTAAACAAGTTCTGTAAGAGAATACATTTAATGAAGAGACACCATAATACAGGAGAGACTGAATTAACAACTTACTCTCAGACGGGCAAGCTGAATAGCAGAAAATCCTCTCACTCCATTAACAACTGGAACCAGCCTATTATACAAAGACTAGAAAAACCACACAAGAAGTTGAAGCAAAAAGTTATAAAAAGGTAATGCTTCTTGATTTATTTCACCCCCATTTCAGTAAGAACTGCCTAACCACATTGGTTGTGGACTTCTGGTTAGAGACTTAAAAAACAATTCTGAGAAGGTGGCAGGCTTCTGAGCCATGTCTATGATGTAACAGTCTAAAATCCATTTGCCAGAAATTATTGGTTTTCTCCATTTCACCAAAAAAATTATATATTAATTTTGCAACTGAGAACCTTTTAAAACTTTAGACAAGATCTAAAGTATTTGAATTACAACTATAATTTCCAAACTGGCCTAAATGTACATTGTGTACAAATGTACCAAGCAAAGGCTAAAACCCTGCTCAGTTTAAATGCTGCCGACAACAAGAAGAGTCTCCTTCTTTGATCTTCTCCCTTCCCTTTAAAGCCCCAAGTTAAGATGTGTTTAAGGTCACAATATATTTAGCAGAGGAACAAGGATCTAGTTTATTTTCCCCATAAATCCTTCTTCTTAAGGTACATCATACCCAACCACACAATAGAAATACAATTTCTAACTTTAAAATGAGTCTTCAAACTACTGTAAACAATAAGATTATAGGTAGGGAAAACAGGCTTTATTACACTATGTAGTACAGCCAGAAATAGTTGTCAGTGTTCTGCCAATTATCCTTATCTTAAAGACTACCTTATGATATCTATTTGCCAGAAAAATACATTGTATATGGAAAATTTTCCAGCAGAACATAAAATGGCTTCAGCAACAGTTACTGTTCACATGGTGAAAATATAAAATGATAAACAACATGTTTTTCTCTGAAATGCAGTTTATTGAAAAACTGAAAATAGAAATTGTCATCTGGATAGGAGAAAACAATTCTCACCTTATCAGATTGAGTATTCTCATGCAAGATCCTAGCATCAATAGCAGCAGCCAGCAAATTATTTGCAGCAGTTATAGCATGAATATCTCCAGTCAAATGAAGATTGAACTAGAAAGGGGAAACAACAGGATCTTTTTATAAGAAAATATTTAATTCAATTAACTAAGTCAAATTAGCAGCACAAATCACTGCTATCTCCTTGAGACTGCAGCTTTGATTGGTCAGCTCTCAGGGTAGGCTAAAGAATTACAGGTGAAAATACACTGGACCATATGAAGGACTTGTTTTCATCTGAGTACATGGTGAACTACTCAAACAAAGCCAAGAATATCTTCATTCTTTGCTAAGTGATTCAAGAATAAGAAGCCAAGAGTTACAGTTCCACATCATAAATACAGAATCAGTTCAGCATGACTAACCACTAACACACCTGGACCAGAGGTGTGGCTACTGCTGGATGTGCCCCAGAGGCCAGCATGCATCCTGGCTTTGGGGCCATATGCCAGCTTTCTGTTAGCTGCAGGAGAACAGCCCCTAACCTCACAGGCATGAACTTTGCTGATACAAAATTTGACAAACAAAGTTTTGTGAAAACTCTGAAATGAGCATCTTCAATTAAGACTTCTGTTACACAGGTACTGTTTTTTTGTTTGTTTTTTTTTGTTTGTCTGACAGAAGGAGTTGGAAGGTCAGTTTTAATGGCACTTCAGAGCTGACATCAGGACACTGCTTGGACCAGCTGTGCACCATCAAGGTGGTTCCTCACCAGTTCTAGCCATAGAGAGGTTTTGCTGAGCTCTAAATTAGACTGTCTTGGGGTGAAACAGCTACGTGTTTCCAAACAAGCACTGGGAATATCATAAAACCATTAAGGTCCAAGAAAACCTCCAAGATCATCAAGTCAATCTTCAACCATGAATACCATCATGCCCATTAAGCCATCTCACAGACTGCAAGCTGAGGCTGTCTCACCTCCTCCATGGGGATCACTTGAGCGTATCCACCTCCGGCTGCTCCACCTGCACAGGGAAGCACAGGGTCACATCAGTTTTGGAAAAAAACAACTGTCTTTAAACACACAAAATGAAACATACAGCAATGATGACACATTTTTGGCATTTTGACTTCTATTAGAAGATCAGTGATGCACCCAACTAAACATGATTTCCTTAATCTTGCTGGCTTATTTTTTCAGCAGGTAGTAAAAAATGAAAGCCTACACATGATGGTGGTGCAGGCTCTGGCTATGTAAGGGCTACCCTCTGCTCCTGCCTAGATTTTGGTCACAGTCATGCACATGCAGCTGCTGGGTGGAAAGACAGAGCAGTCGCAAGCAAGAACTGCTTCTGAATGAAACCTTCACACCCTCGCCTGAGCACTCCTTCCCCTCTACCTCTCACAGTACAGGCAAAGAAATTTGCTGTTGCCTATGCACAAGATGAGTGGAGGGATTAAAGCACTCACACGCACCAGTCTTAGCTGAGAAGCACCAAGCACCAGGAGCCTTCCAGCTGAAACCAAACTCGTTAACTTAAACTTCAGCAAAGCAAAGCAGAGCAGATGGGGAATGCTTGCCCAGTTAGGCACCAATTTCAGCTGAGAAATGGCAAAAAAGAGATTGCATTACTTCCTATCATCAGCATTGAAGATGGGCTTGAAATCTGGCTGGGTCTTACCTGGCCCTCAGGCTCTTACAGAGTTTCTAGGCAAAAAGGCAGCAGCTCATGATTAGAGGCAACAGCTCAGGAGAACAGAGGGAAGAGGTTCAGACCTAGCCAAAAGTGTGCTGCTGACACAACTGAACCATAACTGCTAAATTCCTTGTATTGCTTGGAAGTATCCAATGTGGACCCTTTCTAAAGGAGTAATTAGAGAGTAATATTTAGAAACATATTTAAAGAGTCTCCAAGTAGAGGGGTGGCTGGAAGGGTGTGTACTCACACAAAACTCTTCATGGCTAATTACATCACTCTGCCTTTCATTATGTTTAGGCTTTATCTGCATTATCAATACATGTTAAGTGCAAGAACATAGGTATGCACAGGAAGTTGTGTGCAAGAAGCCTTAATCTATTAGTTACATATGTATTAAAAAATCAAATGTGCTACTACTGGGACAATCTACTGAGTGAAGCAATTAAAAAATTAAATTTAAAAAGGCAAAAAAACAGTATTTCCTTTTAATCTGAAAGAGGTGATAGATCTGCAAATATTATGTACCTTTCACTCCAAAAGTAGGTCCTTGAGAAGGTTGTCTTAGACAAGCAAAGGAATTAATGTTAAGGTGTGCAGTAAGCGCCTGAACGAGACCAACTGTGACTGTGCTTTTCCCCTCTCCTAGGGGTGTAGGAGTTATTCTAGCAAAACAAGAAAAAAGATGAATCAAATTCTTTGCTGATGTCAGCCTGGCTAAGGATATCAAAACTTAGAGCTTTTGATTTCAATGAAGAATATTTGTACAGCAAATTTCAATAAGATTACTTTATCTTCACAAAAATACTGCCACAATGTTAGCCTCTAGCTCAAGCTGGAATGCCAATATACATGTGTCTTCTATTTAAGCAATTTACTATGATAGCAGAAAAAGAGACGATTATTTTGGCAAAACTTCTAAAAAGAATATATTGAATTTAGACATTTTTATTACAGCACAAAAGTCTCACCAGTTTCATTAACAAACCATCCATCACGATACTCTAGGCATGTATTAATATTTTTCTGCAGTAATGCATAAGATCTTTTATTCCCGCTGCTCAAACTTTGAATGAAATAATAGAATATTTTAAGTTAAATAACCAACACTTTTGTCTGTAGAACTCAACTATGCCTCTCCAGCTTCCACGTCACCATAACCCTCAACAATGACAGATCAACTGCTTTTTAAATAAAACAGGACACAAAATCCACTATATTGAATTGAACATGATTTATTGCACAGTTCTGTTTCAGAGATTTAAGAGCAATAGAGGACAATGACTATCATAGTCCATACAAAAGCTCAAAAGCCTCATGCTACAGCTCCCATATTTAGACCATGACCAAAACAGGACAGAATTTTAAAAAGACCTCCAAACTCAAATAAGAGACTCTAACCTCCACTCTATTCTTGTCCCGAGAGAAGACTCTATTCCCTTTAATAAAGGGACAATGACAGCTGATTTTGCAAGTAGAAAACTTCATCAGCCTTCAGTGAATGAGAGACGCCTCAATTTAAATGATCCACCCCCTACTTTCAACATCAGCACATTTGTTTATAATCCATCTTAAAAGTGTGTGTGGTTCTCTTTCTGTTTTTCTTTCTTGACATGTGAACATATCTCATGGCTCCTAAAATGCACTTCAATGATTCTTTTGAGGCAGCATTTCTTTTTCTGATTGGCAAAAGAAGAAAGCCCCAGTCCTTTTTTCATTCACACCACTCTCACACAAATCTCCTCTTCTGGCAAGGAGTGACCATTTGTGCTTTTTCTAGCTGCAGAAAAGTACTTTACTGAAGCTGACGTTAAGAACTAGTGTTCATTCCCAAGGAAATACAAGAATGCACATGGATCCTAGTCAAAGGGGAACCCTTATCCTGTGACCTCTTCAAAACCTGAGCTAAAACATCTAATTAGAAACACTTCCTTCTCCAACTAGTAATTTTTCCAAGATATTGCTATCCTCAGATCACAATTCAAATGGCACAAAAACATGAGTGCAATTGTAAGAATCAGCTTAGTTTAGTCAGTTCACAGACTGGCAAAAAGCGCTTCTTCGTTCCACAAAAGAAAATAGATGAAAAATGTTAACTTTTAACAAATCTATCTTTTACAGCATCATCAGATCCTTGGCTTTTACTTTAAAAAAGATGCAGTAGATAGACATGTCTGCAAAAATTTAGTCAGTTTGGAAGCAAGTCAAATCAACATCTAGGAAAAAAATAATTACAATTCAGAAAAGAAGTCTTTAACCGAAGTTTCAGTGAAATCAATGGGGTTAAGCACATCTATAAGAGATTGCCTGAATTCCTCGCTTTGAACTACTCTTATGTGACCATGGGCCACTTATCTGGGCACTTGGTTTTAGCAATTTTCTCCCACATTTTATAGCATGTGTTCATCAACCAACAGATTGTAAAACATCATCAATAACTTACTATTCAGACTATTTCATTATCCTAGAATTGCATTTCTTTGACTTAAAAAGGAATTAATAGAATTCTAGCAAAATAGCTATGTAGAGCCAAAAAAATGGTGGGAGAAAAGCAGTTTTGGTCCCTGTCGTTTTTTTAATCTGCATTAGGCCTTCTTATTTCCTTCTGATCTACTGCAGGAGCACAGAATGCTACTTCATTTCTTTTACTTTCAAGTTTGCAAAGTTCAAGTTCCTTTCTTCAAGTTCCTAGAAGAAAGGATACTTTTAATCTCTACATTGTCAGGACAGGGAGCCCTCAGGGTTTCACAGTTGCCACATAGATAGCTGCCTTTTTTTCTCACCACTCTTTTTGTGACCTCCTTTTTGTCCCAGGATCCTTACTTTAGAAAAATGAGTTTCTTTCAGAGCACCACAGCCAGGTTAACTCACTTTTACTACCAGTTTTACCTTCTCACTACTGTTCTAACACTGGTTTCCCCAAATCCATTCAAATAATTCTTAGCATGGTTTCTCCTTACCCCTTGTTCTCCTACTATTTCATTCACTTTTGTCTATTGTCCTAATCTCATTTACTTGATCCTCTTATTCCTGTGCATTAAAACTAGATTTAAGGCATATATAAATAATTCTGAGGCATTACTGTGTTCAAAGACTTACCAAGGTAACAACTCTAGAAGCAATTATTTAAAAATAACAACAACAAAACAAAAAGAAGAAACAGTAACAAAACACCTAAAATAAAACTATTCTACTATGAAAGAGACACCTGTAACTGTCTCCTGGAAGTTGCCAGTAAAGAACTTTCAAAAAAACTCCGTGCACATGATGGCTGCACTACTAACTGAAAAATTATCATTTGCAGGGCATCCTGTTGGTGGCTACCTCTATTTTTGAGCATCAGACATATGAAGTTCACATTCAAGAGAATTCAGAGACATCATCCTTAGTTATTTACTTGGTTCAGCTCAAAACATGGTAGGTGGCTGACCTGGTATGCACAGCAACACAGGGACTCTTTACAACTCTTATGAAACCAGTAAAACCGAAGATGCAGCCTTCATCCAGCAAAGGAAATTAAATTGCAGTTGACAAAAGCATAACCAGAATGCATGTTGGTAGCATAAAGAATAATATCTACTTGTCATAGAAGAAAGCAACACACAGTCAAGTGTCACGTTACTAACATGCTCTGGTAACTCGACTGGCCTATTCTAACATGACACTGTAATATGAACCAGAAAGCACTGAGAGTTTTCTATGGGACAGACCTTTTTCCAGAAAGCAAAAAGAGAAACACACCTCTGCTCTTTGATTAAACTAGCAGGAAACCTCAAGAGCTAAAAAGTTAATTATTTATTTCAACAGTTACCAAAATCTCAGCTTTAAACATTAGTAAAAAGAAGGGAAAAAAAAAGCACCTGAAATTTAAAGAAAATTCTATTCCAATAATTTTCCTTTGAAAGTTTATTTTAAATATCTTCCCTTTTGTACCAGCTCTACTTTGATTGGGTTTTATAAATAAAATAATCCACTTAATCTGTTTTGTGGACATTGAGCTGTTTTTGCTGGCTACACTACTGAGCCTACACTTTTGCAGCTTAGGTCACTTGCTCACATGGGTATAAAATTACAACTGCCAATGGCTAATTTGTGCAATGCTGTGTTTTAACCTTATGCAAATTGAGGAAAAACCTCCTTTAAAATGCAATAAATTTTAATGAACTTCAAGAGACTTTAACAGCCATTTGCATTATTCTTCAAATTTCTTTAGTATGTTTTCAATCAAAACACAGAAACTCCACAATAATTTTCCGCCTTAAACTTTGCCACCTACCAAGCAGTCATCAGCTCCTTGGCAAAGTAAGTTTTCCCCATAACATTGGAAAGCCTTCTCTCTTTATATATATCAAAACAAAGATAAGAATATACAGACTTTTTGCTTGTTTGTTATACATCACATTAGCTTACAGCAGAACTGTTTCTGTGGGAAAGCTACACAAGGTCTCCCAAAGAGAAAATAAACAAACAGGGAGACATACACTGCACCAGCTGTAAACTCCTCACAGCTACGCCAGCCACTGCGACTCCAGCAAGAACTTTACTGGATTTGTGACAATTCTTTTTCAAATTTCCTATGTTCAACTCATAAGTATCAGCAGACTCAAAGATTTTAATGAGTTCCTAATTTGTGTGATATGCATGGAAACCTGTGAAAGTAGACTATGGAGGCCATGGGCATACATACATCTCCCATCCCAGATTACACCTGTCAGAAATGTACTTCTGAGCACAGAAGTGTTGCAACTCCTGTTACCTCGTCCAGATGAGGTTATGAAAATGTTGCAGTGGCATCCTTGGGTTGGGACTGAAGCTTCCAAATACAAAAGCCCAGAGATCACTATGAAGCTAAAATGACTGGGCAAAGACAGGAACAGACTGAGGAATCCTCCATTGCAAACTTTCATAATGCACTACAGACTCATACAAGACAATGCCAATCAGGAGCTCTGTAATGACATGACCAATCATGACAACTGTTTCAACTATGACTTTACCTTGGACTGTCAAACAATTCAGGGCACCAACACAGGGGTATTTTCCCCTCTTATCCCTCCTTGCATCTTTCATCTAATTTTTGTCTCCATTTTTTCTTAGCTTTTAAGCACCTTGCAGCCCAAGGGACACAGTAAAAAGAAATACAATCTATTTTTGTTTTCCTTCATTTTTACCTTACTGAAAAGGTAGTTAATCACAGAACAATCTATTACTGTTAGGAGATACTGAATTTAAATTTTCCAACATTTAAAATCCAACACACTTCTTGTTAAAGGCAGAATTGTATTTCATAGTTTTCCCACTTTTTATTCTTCCTCATCTTGCATTTTTGAAGTGAACAACTTTCCAGAATTATCCACTAAAAGCCACAACACTGGAGCATTTAGAAACAAGACACTGAAACATACACACATACAGAGATAGATTCTAACAAACTGCAGCTGTAATTTCATATTGTGTCTGTGAATATGCCATTCACATGCCTGAATGCATGATTAGGTTACCCTGAACACTAAACTTAGCTCCTAGGTCAAGTACAAGCTGCATTCATTTGCATGCTCTCTGCTGGCAATGTGTGGAGGCAGGTTGAGTTAACAGATCCTGTGACATATTATTTAGCACACTAAAATCCTGTTTACAGCCAGTTGATGCCCAAGAAACAATTATTCCATGATAACTTGTGACTCTGCCCCCACAGTGTCTTACCATGAGCCCTACAGAAAGCCAAACACAAAGAAAATAAGAAAACAGTAATAAAAAAAAAAAAATAAAAGAAAGGTCTCCATACAGAAGTATATGGAATTTATAAAGGAATAAATTCTTCATTCTGTTTTTGGGCGTGACAATCTGTTAATCAAACAGCAATATTTCAGCATACAAAGTTTATAATGGATGAGACACTTAGCCATGTTTACTCACATTTAGAAAGAACAGAAAAGACTTTGCAGTCAGCAATTTTTTAAAGAGCCATAAATACAACTATCCTTAGAGATAAAAAGGTACATTTCAGTTGTATTTTCCTGCTTAGAACAAGAAGTTTGGTATTTAGCATATCAGGAATAAACTAGACATGCATTTGCAGCAAATATTTATAAATTCCTAGACATTGTGAAACATTTAAATCTGAATGTGCACTTAAAGGCACAAATGTTGCTGGCTGCACCATGGATGGAGGTTGGAGGTTTTGCAGTTTCTTGAATACATGTATATAAATGCTATGCCCTTTTCACACACAATAAGTTCTCATCATACATTACAAATATTTCCCCCAGAACCGTAAGTATAAACATATATCTTAAATATTTCCTCAGAAGCACTGATAATTTACTCTGAAGGCCTACACCACATCATTCTAAGAATTTTTAAATATCTTTGGTTATTGTAAACAAACATAATAATCCAAATGGCAGGTTCTGGTTGACCTTGCCTTGGCAAGGGAGAGAATGAAGGCAAATGAGGATACTATTACACTCCCCAGTTTCCACACTTCAGTGATACTTGATTTTCATTGCATTGAATATTTCCCCATCAGAGAGAGTTCCCTGCTTTTCTTAAAATCATTGTCATCTGCAACACCCATTTCAGCAAGGGAGAGCAGCTGAGAGTATATAAACACACATTATATGTATATTTTATACATACTATATTTCAAAGTCAAGCTTTGAACTCTCTCAGAAGAGAATGTTCCCACTATTGTAGTGACCTTGCCCAAGCACTCCTAGTGCAGCAGCTGCAGCTTCGCACTAACCCCACAAGATGCAATGACTTTAGAGATGTTACAAATAGCAACATATTGCATCATTGGGTTGGGAAGGTACCAAACCCAGCCCTTTTTATCTGAACCATTCTGTATTGGTACATTTTGTGTAAACTTAAAAAGAGGATACAATTTTCTGCTTTTTACAAACTTTTTATCTTGCTGGTCAAAACTACTGCATTTCTTCCACCTGTAGATACACTTCTTTCTGTGACAACTGCTTGAGACACGTTCTTTGAAGGAGAATGGGAGACAAAGCAGTGTGAAGAAACGTAAGCACTGGTGCATTCAATCTGACACAATTAAAGCCCATCCGAATGGGGCTTTGCAACTTGCCAGCTTTGCACCTCTGGCCATCTTCAAATAACCTCTTCTTCTGTGAGAGGTTTGTTGCTAGGGAAGCCTGGATTGGTCTGCAGCATGATGACCAAATATCTGTTGACATCATGAGCATGAAAATACATGGCAGCAACTTTCTTCAAACTCAGTCAAATGCTGAACCTGTTTTTGTTTCTCCAATGCCACAAAAAAATCCAAACCAAAATAAAACTATGCCAAAGGATGCAAAATTTCTCTTAACTGCTTCAGCATCCTCCAGGACTATCTTTAATGCTGGACTTTCATCACATAGTTTGAGGAAAGCTTCATATCTTGCCTGCCTCACCATTGTGACATCAAGTCAGACTACAGCAGCTCCACCTCAGACAGTGCCAGAAATCCAGGTTGATCCCACAGGAAGGCAGTAAAGCAAACAGTTTGAGAAACACTAGCCAAGGTGAGGAATCAGTAGGTCAAGGCAGTCAACAACAGCCTTCTCCTTCTGGATCAGCCAAAACTGCATTTTCAACATGACTGGTTTTACTTAAAAGGAAGCAACCAATAGATTAACTCAGAATATAAAGAACACACTGCAATTTAAATATTAATGAAAACCTTCACATGTTTGTTCACAAGCAGAAGTTTCCACTTAGTAAACCAAGTGAATGAAAAAGCTCTGTCATTGAATGCAAGAAAAACCTGAAGCTCTTCAGAAGAGAAGTGCATAATTCCTGCTGAGCACTGCATTTACTGTAACTGTGGGAAAAGCAAGCAGGATAAGCCTGCCTGGAGACATGTCTACATTTCAGAGAAAAACACGGCATTTTAAACTTTGTAATCTGTCCCTCAATTTAAAATGTATTTATTGTTAATATCAACAGATTAGCATGTAGCTTCTGTTAATGTTTGTTTATAAAGAGCCACAATACAAGCAGCCTTAAATATCCAAGTTAAACATTTAAAATTCTGATAAAGCAGTAAAAAAACTCCACTCACCAACAGTTCACAGAATCTTACAACAAATTACCTTTTATAAAATACACTTTAATTCAGTAATAAGAGTTTGGAAGAAAAGCTGTATTACTTCAAAAACGTTCAAAACCTGCACACTTTCAGAAGAGAGCAACATGCAGATGAAAACATTCAAGATTCTTATTTGTACAGTGTATAAAAAAGATGTAAGTTGCCTGTTTATATTAATAAGAGTGGAAACAGCGGACATTAATGACATTACATAGCATTCTTACCCAGCAACTAGAACATATTTTCCATCTGGTTGATCCTTTAACCTTTCCAGCAGGGACAAACGTACTTTGGCTTTGGTTTGGCCAAAGATCTCAATTTCATCTGTAAGCAATCCTATCTCCTTGGCAAGTACATCAACAGCTTTTGGACTCTGTGCTCGGGAAATCTCAATATCACTGGAAAAGAAAACAAATAGGAGCCAGAAGATTTCTCTCAGCTTAGGTGGTCAACGACAGAACACAAAACAACAGCAAATAATCCAACAATGGAATTATTGTAATGAGTTTTTCAATTCTCTCTCACATTTTATTAACCAAACCTAAATATTAAGTATCATCTAATATAACATTGAAAATCTTGTACAGACTTTGCTAATTGTTACAATCTCACAGACAGCTCTTGTTTAATCAGATTCCAAATATTACATAATGCTCTCATATCAAGCTAGAAATGTGTCTGCTGGATGCCCAAGCATGTCCCACTGGAATAGATGTTTCTGGATTTGTTTTTCCCTTTTGTTCTCCTGCCTCACAGCATATTTCAGCACATACAATTTACTAAAAAGTGCATGCATTCCTTGGCCAACAGTCACACAAACACATTTGCTAAACCCAATGCTTGTGCATGCAGTGCCTTTCATCCGAGGGCAGCGCCAACATCGATGTTCCCCATGAGGACACCAAAGGAAACAAGGCATTTGCAGACCAACTCACGCACTTCTAAAACACAGCTAAACTAGGAATGCCTACAGAGCAGGAGTCTAAAGCACAGGGCACAGCCAAGACATCCAGTGAGCTTAAAGAACTACCTCCAGCAAGGGCAAGCAGCAGCTGAAGCAAGCCACAGATTCCCTGAGGGCATGTGGCTGATTGTATCTGCTGTTCCTGACCTGGACAACCTGAGGTCTTTGGATTTAACACTCCATCATGGATTTTTCATTTGTGAGCTTCACCTGGTTGCCCATTATGTCCACATAAGCACATAGAAGCTGAAAGCTCCTGCAGCACAGAAGCCCAGGGCCTGGCACACAGGACGTGAAGAGTTGTCTCCTTGGGCTTTGAATTGCTTACAATTCAAAAAAAAACAACTTAAAAATTACTTTCAGCCTAACCGGCCTTAAAAGTAATTTCAATTTTCTTTATGTAGTTTCAGTTGATCACAGTATTTTTAAGACGGAATCTGGAAGTGGCATGAAAGCTCATGTCCTGACCTTCTGAACATTCTTCAAGACCTTAAATATCCAATGAACATAAAAATACTACCAGATCTCAACTCTGTGTGTGGACTTTGGCCATTCTGCATACACCTGGCAAATGACCAGTCTGTGCCAAGTTAACTGCTTGCAATTCTTTGAGAAAACCCTAAACTGGCTCCATTATTGATCTATAGTTCTCAAATATCCCCCTTTTGCACCCTGCAGCAGCTAAGTGAAACCCAGAAACCATCCACCCAAACAATGACATAATCCAGTACTACAGGACAAGGAGTTACTCAATCACAGCACTAACCTGGAACCTGCTTTCTTTCAAAGCCATACTAAGTGCATCCCCTTTCACAAAGGGGATGCACTTTGGCTTCTTATGTGTCACTTCAAACACAACTAGCTGTAAAAACTTAATGAGAACACAAGATGGAGTGGCTTCCAAACATCACATGGCAAAGACCATCTTAAGTTTTCACTTAGAACTTCCAACACATAAACAACTCAAGTCCCATAAAATTCTTCTTAAGTTTGTGGTAGTGTGGTCCCCTAAAGATCTAAGAAATGAAAATTTTAAAGGTAACTATTCTCCTGTTAAAGTAATTTATGCATTTAGCAAGAGGAGAAAAATATAGACTAATATGACAAAGTTAGTTTGCATTTTTTCCTCCTACTAAATATATTTTCCCAAAACACAGAAGATTAAAGATTTGGTTATACTTGGACTTCAGAAGTCTGTATTTGTAGCTGACTCTTTTAGTCTGACAATATATTCTCTGTATTGGAAATATCAGAATTGTTCAATATGTTATGTTATTCAGTATTGCTGGAGATGTGCAAAAGTGGTTCTTCTGCATGAATGAAAACTGTTAAGCAAGAAGTCCATTGCTGACAATGTTAAGTGATAATTTAAAAAATGCAAAAAAATTTAAAAGATGGAGGAAGGCTCTACATCTACTCACCTGACTTTTATTTTTTTTAACTGCATACTGTAAGAAAATTTTCCATTCCATTTCCAATATATTTGGAAATACTTCAACCCAGATCTCAGAGAAATCAAAAGGCAGATGTTCTTAGTTTTAGTGCTTAAGCAGCTTTGCCTCACTTTCAATGAAAGTTCCATCTGTTTCCACACAACGTGGTGTATTACTGAAAGCTTACATTTTATTACAGGATACTTTCCATCTGAAGGGGTTTTTTACATTTAAAAGAAAAAAGACAAAGCTATAGAGTTAGTAGATAAATGCAAGTCCTATTCTAATTACATAACATATATTATACTATATATATTATGGTGTATATATATATATATATACACACACACACACCATTATTTATTACTTATGTAATTATTGATGCACTAAACACACAATGTCATAGGGAGCGTTGGAAATACCTTTTTGTGAAAATTTATTTTTACTATCACCCTCGTGACATCACATACTTTAACTTTTAATGGTATTATTTAAGCATAGTTTCTTTTAGGCTCCAGTTCTAGAAATTTAATCCTAGAATTCCAGAGAAAGCTCAAGCATTTCTGCCTCCTTGTGTGCCTGATTACAAGAGAAAACTCATTTTCTTGGCATCTCTGGTTTGAATTACATTTGTGTTCATTCCCATTAAACTGTTGTAAGAGACAGTGAAAAGCAAATCAAAATACAACATTTTGTCACAGCTTTCCAAAATGACACCAGTAGGATTCAGAATTACAGAATCACAGAGTGGCTGAGGTAGAAAGAACCTCTGGAAGTCATCTGGTCCAACCCCTCTGCTCATGCAGAGGCATCTAGAACTGGTTAGTTGCCTATGTCCAGGTGGCTTCTGAATGTCTCCTAGCATGGATGCTCCACAATCAACGTGCATAATCTGTGTCAACATTTGGTCACACTCACAGTGAAGAAGTATTTCCTGATGTTCAAATGGAGCTTCCTGGGTTTCAGTTTGTACTCACTGCTGATGGTTCTGTCACTGGGCTCCACTGTAAAGAGCCTGCCTTGTTTCTCTTTGTATTATTGTACATTGTATTTAGACACATTGATAAGATCCTCCTATCCTCCAGACTATGCAGTTCCAACTCTCTCTGACTTTATTCTGGTGTGAGGTTCCTTCAGCATCTGCAGAAGCAGGCCTATCAATAAGTACAAAAAAACGTTGACACTTTCCTCACTTTCAAGCCATTGGTTTCTCTCTATGTCACCCAACACAACCAACACATAGCAAAGCACTTCAGCACAGTAAAGAGCTCAGGCTGCTTTAAATATCAGGTGTCAGTAATTGTGCCGAGGCCCAGACAGGGGTCTTGGGAAGTGAAGGACAGGAGCTGATTGAAAAGAATCTGGCCATGAGAATAAATATGCTTCCTGCTTTTCACACCCACACAGGAATTTAAAAGTCTAATGCAGAAGAAAGTACTTTTGCTGAGGGAAGAAAATAAATACAAACTCAAATACCACTGAAATCACAAAGCCTTAACTAAACACCTTCCTACATCAAGGTTCAGCCATTAGGAACTTCTTGTCTTTTGTATTTCTGTTGGTTTTGCACAAGACTTCTCCTCCCTTCATCAATGAAACCTTCTAGCTTTAGGTCTTCATTCAATAAAGCTTGGCTCCAATGCTATCATCAAAGTAAAAACTGGCAGCAAATAGAAGCACACGGTCATGATGAAGCGTACAAGAGAATGGCACAACATATATAGTCCACATAAGATTAAAAATTAATTAGGGACAGCACATTTTTAGGTTGTCACTCTTGCTTGATCTTTTAAAAAATCTTTTTCATTTTTTTTTTCTTTAAAAGCACTTATTACCTGGGCACTGGGGAGAGGGGCTGCAGTTTCAAGCTGTGGAGGTTCCACTTCCTGTACTGCTGGGACTGGATCCATCGCTCCATGTTTTTTACCATGTTCTGGTTTTAAACAAGCAAACAGCACACAACAGATACATCATAAATGCTGAACAATAATTTCAAACAATCTATAGCATGTTGAAATAACTTCTACAGCAAAGGCTAACTTTAAAAGGCCCCAGACTTAAAAATTTTTCTATTTCATGGTTTTAGGACAAAGTAAGAGCCACTTTTCTATTGTATGGCCACATTTCAATCCCATTAACACATAAGTAGCAGAGAAGAGTCTCTAATTAGGTCATTGGACATTTTATTCTGGTTAAAATGGAGAGTTACTATTGTTCTCTCACCTTAAAAATAAAGGAAGATATTGATTGTTCACTGACTGACTCATACTGCTTCCAAAATTAAATAACATACATTAAATTAAATAACATACATTAAATAACATTTAGGACCCCCTATCTATCATAATGCAAAATGCAGACAGATATAATCTTCTCAGTCTTACCAGAGTGAGTGACATTAGCCTGTTGGCACAAGTGCTTCTGCCAACCTTTACTGTATTAACCAGAATTATGAGATGTCTGATTTTTAACTTACCTTTCTCTAATTAAATGTAGTATCACTCTATCTGATTAAGAGTTGCTATTAAAATGGAAGTCAGGCATGATGGTCAAAAGAGCAAAACAAAAGTTACAATATAAACTGTAGAAGCAATTTCTGCAACTTACTGAAAGAGCAACAGATCTGCAACATTGGTACAATCTACAAACAATGGTACACTAACCTGCATTCTCATTGCTACTGCAAGAGAACCAACAGTCTTTTCAGCAGCAGGGTTGTTCTGCTGACCATAGCTGTGTTTCTCTGAAAAATATAAGTATTGCACTAATAAATGACAAATCTTTTTTGAGTGGGAGCACGTGTATTTGAAAGTTATGTCCAAATAAAAAAAATTTCTGAAGGTTGACTTGAAATTTAACAATATTACTGACAAAATGATAGGTGGCTTCTCTAATACTTCAAATGAAATCACCCAGAAGGATGAATATACTATGAAAATCAGAGAGTAACTGTGTGCTCTAAAACATATTACACAAAGTAAGTTCACACAGCTGTATTTGGAAAGCTATCTATATTCTTAAACAGAACACCTAAATGAGCATGGTTAAGACTGTCTTCTCTTCGGCACACACATTACAGTGAGCGAGAACAATGAAATGATCACAAATACCATACAGGATTATTAGAACTTGGAAACAGTATATGCAAAGTTTTTGGAATAGCAACAGTTATCTTCATCAGCATGGTATTAATATAGGTATTCTGGAGATTCTACAAAAGTCAGAGTGACTTCAACTTCAGAGACAGTTATAATTGTTTCTAGTGGCAATATATCAAATGATAATCATACATTAGCTACCCCAACTAAACACATTATTTTGTCATTTTGCTGTAATCCTTCTTCTGGCTTGTTCTTCTGTTGTCTTCTTTTATCTAGACACAATTTCTCCAAAATTCACATCCTAGTCTCTGTGGGCATATCAAGGCCGGAGCCACATTCAGAAGGGCGTAGATATAACTGTAATTAAAAATAACAACTGTATGCTGACAGCTTTAACCTTTCTGCCACAGGGGAACTGAAGTGCAAACCCTGACCTGGTCAAGCTCTTGCTCTGTTCACCCCTTTTGTACTGGTCATAAAAGGCTCATGTTTCCTTGCACAATCACCCCTCCCAACAAGGGTCCCAGAGCAGCAGGGCACAGAACATTCAGGCTGGAGACAGGGTGGCAGCTGTAGCCCACTCTCCCACATCCATCGCTGAGAGAGCAGGAGACCTCTCCTTGAGAGCCTTGAGACCTCTCTGCAGACCCCTCAGCCTCATTCCATGTGTTTCCTGACCCTTTCTCAAACTTCCCCGCCAGCAGGCATCTACACATCAGGGACACACCTAACCAAGCTGAAGGCAAGAGTCCTCATATTAAACTCTAAGATAAAGTGTCTGAAAACTCCTTTTACTTGCATTAACACTTGCAATTCAAACAAACAAACAAAAACCAAACCATTTCTTCTGGAGATGCTCAGCTTTAGATTTAGACAGAGGAGTTTTATTGGAATAGCCTATTACAGTCATAAGCTGACTCTTGCTGCTTTGAGACCAGGCTGGGAGAGCTGCCAAACAGACAAATGAAGTAGGGAGAATGAAGTTTAAAACCCCCTTTCAGACAGCTGTGCTTTACAGAAACATTTTGACTTTTTATGTTATTTGGCTTAATATGACTATTTTTATCAGGGCAGAGCTAGCATGTGTGTAAATACATATTAGAATTAGACAATTCCCTTCACTAAACTATTTCTCTCAGACTGCCTATGCTACACAGTCACCCCACAAATGACTAACCAGGCTTTTACAGGGTGAAGGTGAAACTAGAGGTGAAAGTCATGCATGCATGGAGTTAGCAAGACAATCACAGGATTGCAGCAGCTCTCCAAGGATAAATTTTCCAGATGGAAGCTGGAATAGCACTCTCTGCTTCGGACTAATGGTCAGAGCTAAACAGATATTGTGCTCCCTCCTCTGACTTGTACCCTATTGTACAGATGAGTGAGAGCTGCTGTCAGGTGCTCTCTGTTCAGGCAGCTTAGAATAGAGGTGGGGAAATGGTTGAATTTCCCACTATAATACTTAAACCATGTGGGCTTCAGCTTTCATGTGACCCAAAGGAGTTGGACATTAAATCTCATATAATTCTGGCATCCTTAAGTTTTATTCAGAAAGTTATTTTCATTTCCATAACTTTACATATAAAGTATATTCTGCAAGACTCTACCAGCACTTACCTGATTCCAAAACTGTCAGTGCAATAGAAGCAGATGTTGCACTGCTAGAAAATTGCAGAATGTTTTAAAATTGTGATAATTTAAAAATCTTTGATTAAAAAAAATACTTGAAAAAGAATTGTCATTTAGGAGTGAGCACTTTTATCTCTAGTCTTCCAATTTACATTTCATTTCCCCAATTCAGCTACATCCTTGCAAATTCTGAGTGCTTTTAAAACATGCAAGTGTGTTAGACAACATATACACCCACGCAAGTTGGAAATCTAGCCACTATCTAGCAAGAATAAAAGGTTACTTCATGACCATTATTGTTTTCAGGCTTCATTTAGCTCCTGTGACCCCACAGATGTTAAGTCGGACATTTCTAAAGCAAGAAAAAATCCAGAACAATCTCCAAGCACCTCAGCCAGATTCCATGGAAGTCAAGAGACATTTATAAGATTCAGTTGTTTCTCCAAGGTCACAATTATTCCACAAACATCTTGGAACTAAACTAAGTGTGTTCTTTCTGTCAGACACCTGTGTTTCATGTACCTCTCTAGTAAGCCTTGAAACCAACATTTTTATAGCTGGTAAAATGCATTTCTGCTGTAATTTCAGAGTTTCTCCAAGGCTCTGACAACCTCAAAATTATAACTATAAAGACAGATAGACATTTGGTAGATGAATTCTAGTTAAATTATATTGGTAAAAATCTCATGCTGTCTTTCAAAAATAATGCAGTACTCAACAGAGCGCATTGCTAACAACTTGAAAAATGCAAAGAAATGTATATGCATATGCCAAATCTTATATTTTCCTGCATTAGGAATGAATGTTACTGTGGTATGTAATGCAGTTTTTCTAACAACACTCTTTCAGAGAAGGGAAACACTAGTATTATCTATAGTTCTTTAGAGTAAATAAGGCATTAAATATTTAAGTCTTAAGACGTAGCATGCAGTTATACTGCATAACTTTTAGGTCTGTGAAGGCTCAGACTCACTTCTGAGAGAATTAGGTGTCTAAAAGTGGGGCTTGCATCAGCGAGCACACAGTGCTGGGAGAGTTCATTGATTCCTGGTGCCCACTCAGGCTGTACAGACTGGCTGATCCCACCCTGTCAGAACCACCCCAAGTTTGTCACATAAAAGGTTTCTACCTTCAAGATTAAAATGAGGAAGGGAGATCCCTTTTAATTTATTTATTTATAGGTGTGACTGCTTAACCACCACTCCCTCTCTTCTCTGTTCCTTTCCCTTTCTCCCTCATTCCTCCTTCATGAAAGGATGTGTCATAGTAGTAGGCTGGGTACCTGCTGAAGAGACCCTGCCCAATTATATCCAAAAAACCCTGGGGGAAATAAATCGGCATTAGAGATGCAATGAGTCTCCTAGTCACTAGTCCAGGAAAAAGAAAACATGTATTATTTTTGCACAACTTGTGCAGCATCAGGAAGAGAAAAGGCTTGGTATCCACCCTTGAGATCCTCAGTAGGATCAGAGATGTGCTTTGGGAGGTAGACAGTGAATGTCCAAATGCCATCAGACAATCAAGTAATAACCCAGATCTCCACACCTGCAGTGTCTGTTCAAGTCAAGAGTATAGCATGAAAGACAAGGAAAGAAATCTATTGCTGAGGCCATGCTTTGCATGGGAACAGCAGCTGCTTTATTATGAGCCTGATCTTGCATTAGCTCTTCACTGAGTATCTACTTCATTTGCCCTTAGGGAATATCTCTAGTTTAAAACCCATGCAATTTCTCAGCTTTATGCTCATTTCCACAGTTTTGGGTCAATAGATGTCAATCAGGTACACTTATGATAAGATTTAAAAAAAAAACCATATTAACCAGTCATGCTATCCATGTATTTCCTCATTTTCCTATTCATTTGCAGCATAATCTCATTGGGATGCTGAGCAGTCAAATTCATATACACACCAAAAATCTAGAAAATACCTAGAGATCTTCACAGAATTATAAGAAATTTTACAGGAGCCGTAAAATTACATGTTATTAGTAGTATTACACATTATTCTAGCAGCAGAGTAACTTCTGGCAAGATTTCTTAATTTTATTCCCAAGAAAATTCTGTAACATTTTTTCAACTCAGAAATTACTGAACACATACACCCTGCACAACAAGTTAGGGGAAAAGGAAGGAGATTACTCCAAACCCTTTTTTACAGGAATAATTACTGCAGGAGACATTCTGCCTCTTCTTAAATACACATTATTTCTGTACTCCCTCCTGCACTACTCTCTGCAAACAGTTTCACAGCACTTTGCAATTAATATTTCTTTCCTTCTCCTTTTCCCATATTCCAGGTGAGTCCACAGAAGTCACAAGGTAAGACACTATACAAAACAGCATTATGTAATAGCTCATTTGATGACCCAAAAGTCTTCCCTCTGAACTCAGTGAATCCCTTATCTAATCATCCTGGGTATGAAGAATCTGTTCCAACCTTTCTTCTCCCACCTAACATCTTTTCCCTATTTATACATCAGAGAAAGGTGTACACATGTCCTGTACACACACCTTTAAAGGCTCTCCCAGAGATGCAGCTTTTAACTGCACTCGTTTTCACCAAGATGCCGCACACATCTCAAAGGCTCACTGTACACCACTTGCAAGAACTGTTTCCTTTTATCACCTCTTACCTGACAGAGGATCATGAGCACAGTTGATAAGGGTGGCCCCAGGCTTTATCCAGCTCACAGGAACATCGTCGGGTTTCGCAGTTCCGAACACCACCGTGTCTGCGTGACGGAGCTAAGCACGGCCCAAAACACCCCCAGAAACAAAACAAGGATTTCACCTTAGAAATACATACTTGGATATGCATCTTAAAAATATTCACTTATACAGCAATAGCCTTTTGAGCAAAGCTTTTACAGACAGGAACAAAAACTGATCCAAACTATTCAAAGTGATTGATTCTTACCTGCCACGAAACTTAAGAATATAAGTTAAGTAAACAAATTGTGAGATCAGGTGAGTGAGGTCAAAGTAAGCATCAATATTTAATGGGGATTATATCCTTCCAAATAAAAAGTTCTATCATTGTCCTAAACTCCAAAATAACTTAGAGTAACTTAAGAAAAAGAAGGGTTGAAATTGTCTGACAGTAGAAAACCAGGCCAGCTGACAGGAGTGCAGAATGACCCCTTCTGCAAAGATCACTGCCTTTGAATACCAATTAAAGCACTTTTTTCCTTCTCAGTTCATGCTTGCTAATCACTGCCCCCGATTTAGCTCAACCTGGTAGATGTTGGAGTAAAAATGGTTACTACAAAAATTTTTATAATCAAAGACCCAAGTGCCTTTCTTTCCCCATTTCCTCTGAAACAGGATGCTTTACCACTTATTAGAAGCACCATGAGATAATGGACAGCACCAGAGGCAGATGTATTAAGACACACTAAAAAAGCAAAACACAGACATAGCATTTACTCAAGCCTGACTGCAAGAATTATTTCAGAAATACAACAGTTTTGGTAATATTTTGGATAAATGCAAATTAATTCCAAGTGTCACAAACTCAGTGAGCCGCTCCACGAATTGATTTGTGACTGACAAGAGTTCCAGCTTCTTTTTTGGCCAAAAGTGCTCTGACACCACCCTGCCCAACACTCTTGCCAAGAAAGAACAGCTACAAATCTTGTCAGGATAGCAGGTTTTTGGCACAGCTGAGCATCCAGGAGGGGAGAAGAATGTAACTGCTGCGGAAAAGGCAGAAAACGAAAAAAACTCCATCTTCCCCTCAGAGTACCCAAGGATGGCCTAACCCTCCTTAGAGATCTACATGTGGAAACAAAGCCAGGAGTGTGGGAGAAGATTTACTTGCTTGACAAATGATTAATGCAATGAGCTGATTCAGGCTTCAGTCACATGTCCAGCAACACTCCTGTGATTGCCTGTGCACAGCCATTCAGCCTTATTCAAATTGGTCACACTCCTGAGTCTGGTGCAAATATCAGCTTACATGTCACTCCTAGAAGGCCACATAAGTCATAATGTGTCAGGTCAAATGATACTGAGAAATCTGCAAGGAAATCTGGATAAAAAGATGCTGCAATGCCTCATGTACCAAGAATACCATGATGAAGGTACACTTTACCCTGTAAAAGAAGGAAATCTTTTCTGTAACAATCAACATCAGCACAGAGAAAAACAGTGATTCTTCTCAGTTACATGATCACAGCCCTTTTTTTGCAAGGAAAAAAATAATTCATATTCTAGCAGTTATAAATCATATACTGTAAGTCAAGATGCCTTTCCATGCAAAGCCTCTGGGACAAGGACTAAGAGCTTTGCACACCGCTTAGCATCGTGAGTTGATGAACAAGTTGAGAGCTGTATGCAACAAGTAATAATTCTGATGAATGTTCAGCCAACATACTTATGACAGAATTGATTCAATGTAACAGTAATGTCAGAAAACAACTGATGGAACCAAATATCCATCTCTATGACTACCGACCCTAATGTTGAAAAATGTTCTTAACAGCTGAACACAATTACTTTTGTAGCCAACATTAACAGTGGTTCAGATAGCTAACATCACACATAGTCATAAATTTTAGCAGAAAACCAGCTGGACCTTTCATATCAGTGCCCTGCCCCACCTCCTCCATGAAAAACGTTGCATCACATGACAGCAAAGAGTTGTACCACAGGTTCAAGACACACTGATTTCTCAAAGCCTTCCCCAGTGTGACTTCCTTTCCCTTATTTCACAAAGAAAACAATATTTTATGTGCAACTATTGAAAAAGTTCCTGCAGAGTCAATAAAATATATGTTACACAAACATTTTAGAGAACTTTTTTCCCCTGTGAGTATTTTTAAAAAGTACATCCAGAAACTGGGAGAGCAAGCCCACTGAAAGCAAAATATTTGCGTTACAGAATTTTGGGTATCCTATGAAGAGATTTATGTGATCTCTATCAGAGAATTTTAGTTTCACTTGCAAGAAATTTTGCCCATGCCTCCTTTGCTTTTATATTTTTCTCTCTTGCCACAATCTACCCTTTTGATTGCCTGTTTAATCAGTAAAGCAAGAAGCAAGCCTTGGCATGCATGTTCAGGGTCAACCCCCACATCAGAAACCGATTATGGACGTGAGAGATGGGAAAGTCCTATGAAATAATCACAATTAGCCTCCCTCAGCAAATGCATCACAGTCCCTGGACAGAGGACACAGAGGACACATCTGACAGGAACCAGATGTTATAGGCAGCCATAGCCAGAAGGTCAAGGAGATACCCATGAGGGAGAACATGTGGCTGCCTGCCTCATGCTTCCTGGACAGCCAGGCTCCATTCCATCAGGCTGGCTAGAGGAAAGAATGACAACCAGCAGGCCAAACCCTCCCTAATGTACTAGGCAACTGGCTGGAGACAAAGTAAGCCAATACTCCAGTAGTATCCTGCCTTCTCACCGGTAAATATTTTTTCAGTTGGGAAGAGCCGTGCCAATAAATAATCTGCAACCTTACCTCATAACAAAATATGATCCCCTCCACCAAGATTTAAGTTGAAGCAGATTAAGAAGCACCACCCATTCCCAAGACAGAACACCAAATGTTAAAACAACAATACAGACTTTCCAGCCAAGTATTAAATGATAATGGCACAAAGTAGCTGTATATTACAAATCTCTGAAACTCCATTTTGCTGTGAAGTCTGTATAAAATGTTCATTTTCCTATAGTTAAAATGGACTGCTGCAAAAGCCATTTTTAAATGCACGGTCGACTAAAATAAAAATTAAAATTAAAAATTGAAATGTAAACCCTCAGAGTCCTGGGTATGAAGCTAGGCCATATAAAATTGAAGAGATGTGATGACGAATAGGAATCTGATTAAAAGTTTTTTCACAACTCTCTTTATGAAAAAAGTATCTTTGCACATCAGTTTACAGATCAGGTTCCACTTTAACCACAGCAATTCTAATTACGTTCTGAAATCTTGAAAATCTTCTAAGTCTATGACTAGTTTCAGGTACCTTTTCCACCAAGGCATGTACTAATTACACAGTTTCTTCCAGCTTTTCCTGCCACATCACCCTGAACACACTTGCCCTACACAGTGCATGTGAAAATCAAGCCCACACCTCTGCTGTGGGCTCAAGCCTGCCCCTATGATCCATGCTTTAGCAACTGTTCATCTAGCTTACAGACAGGGGATACATTTCAAAATTGCAAAGAACAGAGATGATGTGCATAAGATGTTGAAGTGGAAAGGCATCATCATCATCAGAAACACTCATGCACCTTCCCTCTCCTCTCCTCTTATGGGATCTGTGTGCCTGGTCTCCTGTTCTCCCATGCTTACAATACAAAAATGTATTTTTCTGCCCATAACAAGATCCTTAGTCTTACCAAGAAAGCAAAACTAGGAGAGCAAATAGCTAAGAGATGTCTAAGAGCTTGAAGCTCAAGTGTTGGCTCTGAGGAAAAGCACACTGTGGCCAAAAGAAGTTGTTTTTCAACCTGAAAAGGAAACTCCTGTTCAGCACTCCAGCTGAACCACTCTCATACTTCTTAACCTTGCTTTTCCAAACAACTTCTCTATTCCTAATTATACCTAGACAGACCAATGCTCACTTCTTTTACAGTAAAATTGTATGATAGCAGCTCTCTTAAAAAGGCATGATGGTGTTCACACACAGACTGCATTAAAGATGACGTGCTGAAATAATGACTGACTGAATTCAGATGACTGAAGTAAAATTCTGTTTTCTTAGAGGTACTAAGTATCACCCATGTTTTGACAAGAAAATAATCCATTTATTTCAATACAAATCCACTTGACAACCTTCTTTCAAACTAGGAAGTATAATTCTGATATAATAAAGGATTAAACACATCAGCTCCCATTCTTCACATGTCAGTACTGAACTGACTTTTGGGGAGTCCTACTTTAAAATGACAGGGGAGATATCCCTAAATGTATGTCACTAGGTCATTCTTCAGGCACAATGCAGTGAATGTGCTTTGAAGAGCCATCTACACAAAGCTCAACAGAATGATAACATCCTAAGTATTTCCTGTAAGATGCTTGCGTCTTTATCTCTCACTTTTTAAGTTCTTTTACATTGAACATATCAACACAAAAAAGAACAATGTTTCTTCCTGACAACTTTGCATAGATGTGCCAGAACCTTCTAAAATGCTTTCTTGCATTTGTGAATTATTTAAAAACCCAGGAAGCTCAACAGTTCTGAAGGACATAACTCAGCTGTGCTGTGACAACTGAAGGCAAGCAAACCCAAAATGGAACAAAAAGAAATATTAATAATCTGCTCCATTTTGAATATTGAGACTGTGCCCGTTATTTCAGATCAAAGCAATGAAATGAAAATATACCATTATTTATTTTAATGCATTTTTCCTGCCATAAGACAGAACAGACTTGCTCTAAAGGAGCACACTAAGTCAGATTGTATATGGCATTATGCTGTTAGGAGAGCTACCCCAATATTTTTAAACTTTTCCTAAGGTGGATTAAAACATACTTCCTCTTGATCATTTTCAAAATATTTTTGCAAAAGTGCACAAGTGAAAGAAGCAGTAACAAGCCCATAGCAATACAAAACCTTATCCAAAAAAACCTACAAACTTAAGGGTTGTGTAACTCATTTAAATTAAAATAATTTCTAAAGGAAACACTTGTTGTTATGCTGTCCATTTTAAAAAGAAGAGCAAATTAGCAGAGTTAGTTTAAGGTAATGTACTAACAACTTAAGAAAGGCATTACATGGTTAAGGTAAGGTTTAGTACTTCAATGCACATAGGCCTGGCCAAAGGATTACAACAAATAACATTCCCCTACCCTTAAGACAAAATTTTCCTTTCCTCTTATATATTGCAAAACAAATGCATCTTAGTGAAAAATCATACTTTTTGTAAGTTTATCCCTCACTTCCTAAGTGAAGTGATTATGCTACTACAGGTTATACTTCCAAACAACACAAACTGCCACTTATAGGGTGTCCTATTCAGAGAAAGGAAAGTTAGTGTATGGTACAAGAAAAACAAAACATGAATTGATTCTTTCAGGTCTTTGAAAAACGTAAACATCAACTATCACATTTTCTTACTTGAAATTCAAGTAACAAAAAAATAAAGAGAAGAAACCTGGTGAACATTGAAGCTGTTTTTCATAATCAGCATTTTAAACAAACAGAAGAATACAAATTCTACAATCATGTTATCTAACAACGTTGTCGTTCAAATTGCCACAGCACTTCATTGTTTGTTTAGAAACTTGTGCTCAGTTTCTGACTCTCCAGCTTCTGGGAATATGAAACAGGATAGTTTTCCCTGCATGCTTTAGATTTTATCAAGGAACTAGACTTAACTATCAGGCTGACATCCAGACAGGTTCAGCACAGCTCTGGGATTACTGGTGACATGCTGCTCCAGGCTCACAGGTGAGGAAGAGGAAGGTAGGTTTCCCCTGGGCTCTGCTGATTAGTCCCACAGGCAAAGTACAAACTTTTTTACTGCCAAAAGTTAAAGTGAACCTAGGAAAACTGAAGTGCACAAAGCCTCAAACTTATGCTTCCCATTCTGTTTCCCATCAAAGGCCTGCTCCAAGAGGTAAGCTATGGGGAATGCCAAAAAGCAAAGCATGATTATGGGAAAGCATCTGGATGGAAGGAAACAGAATTCTCTCCAGCTATTGACAGCACTGCACAAGCAGCTCTGGGCCCAATCCAGATTTTTTGCTGTGAACCAGAGGAAACACCTCTGGCCACCCTGTCACCCACCCCATCCAGCCCAGAGCAGTCCTCTAGCACAACCCCGAGCAATGAGAAATAGCTGAGGAATGAGACATGGCAAGGATCAAGTTCACAGCACTCCATCTCCCAGAGAGCCATATGTTTCCTAAGTGCTGTCAGTCACTTAAAAGCCCAGAGCTGAGACAAGCCTGGCAAAAACATCCACAGCTGTGAAAACATGGGTTTGCCAGAGAACTTTCTATCACAGCTGCTCGAATTTGTTTCCTTCTCTTGTCTGCGCCTCCAAAGCCTGGAGGTTGGACGCCATCGTTTTGCCTTGGCTGCCACCCTGTGGCACACATGGACTGTCCAACACAAGAGCTGTCCCCAGCACCTCACCACCGAGCCTGGATCCTGCTACACATGCCCCCACGACAATGCAACCCCAGCTGGAGTATTCTGTGAAATCTGGGAATAAGGAACGAACTGTTAAATTTCACAGGAAGTCGTATCAGCTTCTAAGTTGTGTCCCAAAGCTCTGCAAAAAGCAGCCAGAGACCACGCAAAACCTTCAGTTTAAGGATCCTTAATTTCTTTGAATCTTTTTACGGCTCTCTTCAAAGATAAAGATTGAGGATTTCTCTGTCCCAAGAGCAGCAACACTTGCAAACCTTTAGGACACAAATCCAGTGGAAGTAATTTTATGTAGATGACTGTATCAGAGGACAAGAAAAAAAGATGGCATTTCTATTGCAGAGAAAGCAAAAGAGAGCTAAAGCATCTGTTTGTTGGATTCCTTCACTCACAGGCCTTGGTGTAAAATAATGAAGTTAAAGCAGCTGCTGTTACATGTCATATTCTGCTAGAGGCCAGTGCTGCACCACTTCTGAGCAAGTAGGAAGGAGAAAAGACCCTAAGCCACACTGGCTACCAGCAGCCCCACTGCCACCTGTGCCTGCAACGAGGAGTCTCCCTCTTGGGAACGGCAGCTAAGGGCAGGATTGTCAGGTGGACAGCTGACAGGGATGAGCAGATAGTGGAGATGCAGGATAAGCCCAGGCAGACGGAAGAGTGCTCACCTCACTCTGCAGCTGTGGGGCTTTCCAGTGGCAGCTGAGGACGGTGGCTCCCTGGCGCTGCAGCACGCTCTGCAGGGCAGCACCCTCTGCCCCGCGCGCTCCCACCAGCAGCACCTTCTTCCCACCTGTGCGACACAAGGGAAGTCACTCAGCCACCCCCAGCGCAGGGCACAAGCACCAGCAGCTGCATGGAGCTCCCCCCAGGCCACCCACGGCTGCAGCACTGCGGAAGGAGCTGCAAAGGGGCTCAGAACAGGACAGCGCCGTGTGCCTGCACAACTGCAGCAGCTGTGCCGCACAGCTGGCACTTCTGGAGCCCGTACAGTGATAACAACCAAAGGTCTTAAGGAGTTTCCTGGTGACTCTCTAAATTCTAGTAGGCAAATACTGTTCTTCTGGCTTTCTGGTATTTTGCACAAATCCTTTCACTCATGTTTGTTACTAAGTACATTTAACCTCCTATTTACAGTTCTGCTACAGAAATCCTTACTTCAACAATTATGAATCACTGTAAGAGAGAAAGCTTCTGAAACATTGCCTTAAACCAACAGTGTCTTCACATACAGTAAACCTGTTTGCTTGAATCTGCCATTTCAGTGTCAGCACTGACATAGCACAATCCAAACCAAAGGATTTGCTCAGCAGCAATTTACAGGCAAACCTGGGTTTCCCCAACTACTCACGCTAATCAGATAAATCAAGTGAAATCCCCAAGTGATGCCTGTATTTTCTGATTGGAAGACTCACATATCTTGTGTGTTTTCTGTGAAATTAAACCTGCTGATGGAAGCTAAACCTGCCTAATATTCAAAATCTGTTGGCTTGAGACCTGTTTCTACGAAGACAACATTCAGATGTCACTGAGCAGGAGGACTCCTCCTCGCTACCAGGAGACAAATAAATGTCAGCTGGGGAAGCAACACAAAATAGAAAACACTACAAGGTCACATTATATTTGGCTCCCAGCCAGGATTAAAACTGAGTAAAACAGGCTAAAATTAATGTAATGATTGTGATAGAAGGGCTCACCTATATCTTCAAGAAGCTCCATCACAGCACACACTGTAGGAGGAACTAGACAGTCATGGACATCACCGTGTACCAAACATCCTAGGTTTACACTGGATAATCTGCAGTGGAAAAGTATGGCAATTTAACAACAACAACAACAACAACAAAGTTTGTGTAACATAAATCCCCAGCAATACTTGTAACATGGCTAAGAGCTAAATCCGAAGAGCAAACATCTCTCACAAAAGCAAATCCTTTGATAGTCATGTACTGTAGCTAATTTGTATCATCCCACACCTCAGTTAGACAAACACTGAGCCTCAAGAGAGGCCAGGAAAGGGATCTGAGTTAGAATGAGTAACACAATCCCGTGATACACAGGCAGCTCTTTACTTTTCACCCCAGGCTACCCACAGCACATTGGGCACAAACAGTTCAGTGGCTGCAGGGAGACCAGACCAGTGCTGCCAGAGCCAAGCTGCCTTAGGAGGGGGCAACTCAGGTGCCCCCACACTGCACTCCATTCCCTCTCATACAGAAGGATGCTCCAAATTTTCCATTCTCTGACTCCACATAATGGAAAGGTTTTTGAAGGATTTTTGGATTAAAAAAAAAAAAAAAAAAGTGGGATAAAAAATTGGCAATAACCTGCAGTTAAGAGCAGGAATGCTACAAGAGCAGCAAAATGATAACTCACAAACCTAAATTACACCAGTGGTCTCTTCAGAGAGTAGTACAACTCAACACTGATTGCAAATCTGTGCTAATGGGTCCAAACTATTATAGCTTACTTTCTCACCACAAGAGAGTGCTGTAGGGAAGTTAAAACCTTCTCTGCAATCTTTCCATCAATCCTTCTTGTGAAAATTCAGTACTTTGTGACTACCAGTTGTATTATTGAAGTACTGAAATACCCTAAGGATCACCAGTAAATCAAGATTTCATTATTTATTTCTTTGAAAGGACTATGCCCTGAATCTGCATTATGTAAAAAAAAAAAAAAAAAAAAGATAATTACCAAAACTACTTCAGAAAAAGACTTCTCATTGATTCAGAAGCATCTTTTATCACTGCTCAATAGCAAAGACAGATACATTGACTAAGGAATCCATTAACGAAAAGCACAGGAGAAAACTGCTTTTACAGAGTCATCAGACTGCTGATATTATTTCTCAGTGTTCCACTTACCCATCCACATCCTTCTCTGGTTTCACAGCATTTAATATCTTACTGCTGTATAAGCTTTCTGGGAGGTCAAGAGCAAGGCCTTGCACGTTAGGATCCTCATTGAGTCTCAAGATTTCACTGACAATCTAGGAAGTTAATAAAAAGCATTAAAGATCAGAACAACAGATAAAAGGAAAATCTGATTAGAATGAGGTAAAATCTGTATTTTTTTTCAATTACTTTATGACCACCTTGGCTTTCCTTGCTTATTACTAAATGAAAAAGTTCTATTCAGTTTATTATCAGTGGCTTAACAAATTAAGCCATCCTGACTCTATTCTAAACATCTTGCAAAGTAAACACATATTATGTGACATTATGCTGCCAAAAGCAGTTTATGTTTCACCACTCCAAACCTCAGCAAAAGTTTGTCACTGTAATGGCTTCAGAAGATGGTTTTAGAAGCAGAACACCTGAGTTAATATGGAGTGCAAAACAGGACCAGATCAAGTCCCAGTATAGGGACAAAAAGTTGTGACACTCGAAAGAACAATTATACAAGAAAAACCTCATTTTATTAAACCAGCATAGATGGTTACCAATTTTCCTTCTCAAAACACCTAAGAGCTGGTAATTATCTTGTGAAGAACTGTTACGTTGAAAAGGCACTGCAGAGAAGTTTATGAAGTTCAAGTACTGAACCAGATGCAAATTCAAGTGGTTTATAATAGGTCATATCTGACATCTGAGACTGTACTTCCTACCCTTGACTCCTTCCTCTCTAAAGTATAATGCTGATCCATGCTATTTTGTGACCAGAAAGAATACAATGGAACCAAACATGTCAAAGCTTTTCAGGTGAGAAATGTCATGCAAGCATGTCTTCCCACCCTATATATAAAACCAGTGTGCAAGCATCATAAGGCTTTATAATAGAATTGGATTAACATCCAACAGAAAAGGATTCTAAGTAGGTTTTTTCCTTCAACTAATACAACGCCTTTTTAAAATGCTTTTATTGTAAACTATTCATTGTAATTCTGAACTCTATTACCCAAACAATTGATATGCAATCAACATTAAACTAGGGGATTAGGCAGGAGTTAGATTAGCTGCAACTCTGAACAAAGAGAACGTACTACATTAATACTAAATACAGATTGCACAAGCATATCACTGGTACAGAAATGTCTCTTTAGTTTCCTGACTCCTGAGGGAAAAAACCACGCATATCTGATTCTTAAGGTACTATGGCACTTGACAGAAACAGGACTGGTATACATTGCACTAGAAAGGATGAATGAATATGGACATGAAAATGTCTGCATTTTTCTTTAAAAAAAAAACCCTTGATATGCTACAAAATGCTGAGGGCCTACAGAGCAATTAAAACTTCAAGCTGTATTTCTGTCTCCTGGGAAACTAATTCAGTTTTCCATTTTAACTGCATCTTATTTTTATTCACCTTTCCATCATCCATCATCATAGCATTTAAATTACTAATAACTCATGCAGGGTAAAGTAGTATAGTATTAACTTGCATTTATTGTACACAGGAAGTGATGGCAAAACCAAATTTGCATGGCATTGAAATCGCTCCCACCTTCCCACACCAGGGAACACAGGTGGGAATCCACTGAGATGTGGATTTTAGATTTAAAAAACTCATAATGAGTAAGCAAGAGAGTAAGTAAACCATGATGAATTTTATTGGAAGTAACTTCCTTTAAATAACCGAAATACCCCAATTTTCTCTTTAAATACACAGCTAAGCCACTTCTAAGATAATACTTCAAACTATCTGCAACTACTTGCATTTAATTTATTCACTGTATTTTACCTATTTCCTGCTGTGTTACTCAACAGATAAAATACATTTACCAACAACAGAGTGTATTTGTTTTTCATTTCAAAAGCCCACTCTTCTTAAATGGGTAGTTGACTCTCCATAATCTACAAAGCTTCACAGTAAATCCTTTCAATGTATCTGGAAGCAGTTCTTCAGATTGCACTGCAAGGCAGTAACATTTTAAGAACAAAGTGTACCCAGAAACAAAACAGTACACGGAACTCACAAGCCTGCAGGATTATCAAACTTGCCAAGCACAAGGAGGCCAGCTGATAACAGTGTCATCTTCTACTATACATTCCTTCACTGGTTTAATTTTCACGTGGTTTTCTATATTTAAAACATAATTGATATTAAGTGCTGCACCTTCAACAAGGTAAAGAATTCAGGCCTGTAGTGATTTGAGGGGGGTTTTTGTTTTTTAATACATAATTGAAACATTAAAAGATCAACAGACAAATTCAACACCTCCCTCTCCTTCCCCCCTCCCTTCCCCATATAATCTTATAATCTTTTATTGCCCTGAATAATCTGGGTAATAATCAGACACAGGAGCAACTGCAGGAGACAGGATACCTGAGCAGGTATGGGGTTAAACACCAAGCACAAAACCAAAACATTACTCTATTGATTCTGCCCCAGCTTGCCAGGGAACAGCAGACATGCCCATTAATTATCCTTTTTCTCACTTTTGCCAGTATGGGGATAATATCTGCTATTTAAACCAAGGCAATCCTAAACCTAATTTGAGTTAATAGAGGTCAGTCAAAATAATAATAAATAATAAATAATAAATAATAAATAATAAATAATAAATAAAAGTTTATGACAAAAATGAAAAAGAAAGACTCAGGTACTTCAGTTACCTCATCTTTGGTGCTGCCTTCAGGAAGACAAATGTGAATAACACGTAGACCAATCTGTTAAAAGAAAAGACTTAAAATTACTAAAGGCAAATAACTAATGATTATTAACATATGTATCAGCTAAAGCTTACCTCTTTGGCAAAGTTCTTGTTTGCTTCTTGAATCAACTGGTCATTATGTGCCTTGGGGAACAAAACAGTAACTGAGTTTTAAAATAATACATTTTAAAAAGAGTACACTAATGTACATGCCTATGCAAGAAACATAGTGACAATGTCTGTGTCTAAAGGTATTCAAACAACAATTCTAACAAATAAGCAGAAGGCCATGCCTGTTAATCTCAAATAGTTCAAGACTGCTGACAGTGAAAAAAAGAGCATTAAAAAAGCACAGGTTTCTTGGAGAGGCACAATTCCTATTAGGGAAGGAGAGCTTGCCCTCTGTCCCCCAGCTGCCTCCCTGCTCTGCCAGCATTCCTGGCACTGCACTACCAGCACCCCACTCCCCAAACATGGCAGCTGGTGGTGAGTGGCAGCATAGAAGTTGCTGCACTGAGGACACTGTGCAGAGCTCACACTGTGCCAAGGGAGAAGAGATAGGTCTAGGGACAGCTCAGCAGCTGCTCCCCTGTGACAGTAAATGTGGGACTGAACCCCCACACTGACAGCTCAAGAAGTTTAACTGGGATGGAGCAACTGGTGGTACCACACTGTCCTCTACAATGTCCCTGCTGCTGCAGCACTGGCAGGTGAACACTGACTTTGTGTGAGTGCAGAAAGTCCCTGTCCTAAACCAGTTCCTATCAAAACCCACTGAGCAGCACAGGTGAGGCCAGAGCTCAATACATGGGCTGGCAGAGTGCAAGGGCAGGACAGGAGGTGCAGGGGAGCCACTGGTGCTGAGCTTTCCATGGCAACAGCTCCACTGTTAAGCATGATCCTGATGCTTTATTTTACTTTTCAGCATCAACAAAATTAAGAAGCGCCCACCGATCATTTTTTGCTGTTGCATAGCTTCAACCAAGGTTCAACATGGATAATAAACAACACAGGTATCAATTTTGGCATTGATTCAGATTCAGCTGACTCAAGAGGAAAAGGACAGTCCTAAAATCATTCCACTGCAAGTCCTCATTCCCGGTCCTGCTAAGAGGTGGTGCTCTGTCATGATGACCACTGCCACGAGTGACTGGCAAAGGAGGTAACTTCCCTGCCCTCCCTCTGCTCCTCTGGGCACATGTGGCACAAATCTTAAGGCTCTGCCCACATTACTGGTAGAGCATCATAAGAACATCTGTAGACCAAAGCAAGTTTTCTTTGCACCAACAAATACATATTTAAAATGGGCTCTGCTTCAGTCTTCACAACCAGACCAGAGCTAGAGTGACTGGAAAGCTGGAGAACAGAGCTTAGGTGAATTTTACCCAGAAGGATCTAGGCCACATGTTCCTACAGCCACTTCATGAGGCAGACCGAGTAGGGTAAACAGGGACAAGAGGGACATCCCTCCCACTGTGCCAGCACAAAACATGCATGTGGCCATGCAGAAAAACAGATTCAGGAGACAAATGTGGTTAAAGACAGCCTCTTTAGACCCCTAAGGCTGAAGAAGATCACAGTCCTAGTCCAGATCATGGTGCAGTTGGATGGAGACTAACAGGAGCATGAAAAAACAGGTAAAACAGGTCACTGCTTTCCTAGCAGTCCTTCAGCTTTAGCCTTAAAGGGCTCTGTGAAAATGCAATTATCAGGGAGGGTGAGAGATGAGAGAGCCTGTTCAGATAGCCTCCCTAGAAGACCTTCTGAAATAAAGCTGTTGCTGCATTACTTAGATTCACAATCAGTACTTAAAAAATACTTACAGTTGGGTTTTAAACTCAAAACCTACTGGGTCAGAGTTTCAGTGTGTGCCCACTCAAAACCAATACCAACTTCCTAGGAAACAAGAGAGTAACATTTTTGCCAGCATGGCAGTGGCTCCCCTCTGAATGATAAACATCCTTAGTTTTGTGACCTCCAAACCATAAGAAATCTAAGAATGAACATCTTTCAGCTCTGCAGGGATAGCAATCCTCATCTCTCATTTTGATTGCCTATCAAAAATGGCACCATCAGTGGAATAAAAAGCTCTTCACAGCATTAGTGGAACAATGATTCTCAATTCTGCAAGATTCCTTCAAATCAGAATGTGGTGCTACTTCTACAGGATGCTGACACTTTACACTTATTTCACACACACCCTTCTGAGCTGACTGGGACTTTTTATTGTGGTTTTCCTCTCCTTAGAAGAGCAAGAAGATATCGATAAGCTGTAGCCACCCAAAGGTAACATGGCTGACAGGAAGCAAAAGGGTCTTTCATTAATCTTGGCATTGTTATTTCAGGGGTGGGAAGTGAAGGGAGGCCCACATTTTCAGGAACATAAGCACTTTGCTCAGTATTGCAAAAAAGCTTCAAGTTAAATAAAGGTTTGAGAACCCTACTTTTAATTAAACTATTAAGTTATTCAACTTAGACAAGCTGTGAGAAAAAGTGATCCACACGTAAAATGAGGAAGACTACATTTGCAAAAGGAAGAAAGGATAAAACTATTCCTTTCCTCTGCAAAGCCTTCCCAGCCTGAAGTTTCCTGTGACTATTTCAGGCATAAAGAAGGGCAATCTACCATCTGGTGGAACTACCTCATCCTATTGCTTTGCTTTATAGTAAAGTACACAATATTCTTTATAAAAAAAAGGATTAAAATTACTTTCTGCACGGTGTGCTTCTGAAGTTTCAGACAAGTAACAGTGCCAAAGGAGATCTCTCACAGCCAGTAAGTGCACAGACATACTTTACCTGAATAATGGCAAGCGTGGGCTCAAGTCGAGGGTTTTCTCTCTTAAGAGAGGCCAAGGAATTCTTTGCATTGTCGGTGACTTTGCTGCAACACAGTGACAAGCAAATCTTTAACAAAATAAACCCTCCTAACATTAGTGGGCAGAAACCAGTTAATCAACAATGTAACCAAAATGCTTGGGCGCGTAAATTTTCAATCTCCAAAATTATGGTTGGATGTGAACTGCAACGGCCAGTGTTCAGCAGGAAGGTACAAGAAAACTTAAAAGGCCAATATTTTTTTTTCTATATAGGTATGTGGGGCATTGCTCTGACATGCCCAAAACTTTATAGCTAGGCTGTGTTAATTCATGAGAAGGCTTGTCCAGCCCCTCCATGGGAAGCGCACTGAGCTGTCTGCTCAGCTCTTGGGTGAGGTGGGTCCTTCATTTCCATACCCTTGGCCAGGGCAGTGACAGATGAAGAGGCCTTTACAGCTGGGCCTGCCACGACTTAACACAGGTTACACCAACCCCATGAGCAGCAGACCAGCTACTTTCATGGATGTGTTTCAAAACCACCGGCAGAAGGGAGAAAAGGCAGCTCTGTTTGCCACACTGCTTCTTGGAAAAACCAGTGACAGCCAGGAACTGTGAATGCTTTCTGGAAAAGAAATTCTGGGTAAGTGGCAGCCAGCTCTCCTGGGTTACCTTTTGCGTGTGCAGGTGATACTTACCCAGCTGGGCAAAGAGGATACCCCCTGAAATATGTCTGTCTGTCCTCCATAGCAAGGAAGACAAACAGAGGAGAACAGTCAGGAGTGGATTTTTGACAGCTCCCACCCTTGCAGAAGCCAATGATCAGTTCAATTCAATGCCGTTGCAAACTATCCCATCCAGGGGTGAATCGGGACGTAGAGGGGAGCCGACTAGGGACACGTTTTTCCAGGCACACATCTGCGCACGTCCTCACCTGAGCCACCGCCACATGACGGCAGCTCCGCTCGCTCTGAAAATGCCACCAAAACCAAAACCCGGAGGAAATCCCGCCAGCGGTTCTGGGGGACGGGGGGCATTTTACTGAGGTCCCCCAAAAATCCCACCTCAAAAACCAACCCGACACACCCACTGAGGGCTCGTCGCCCAAATCCCCCTCACCCCTCCTCCCTCCGTGCCCACACCATCGCACCCCCCGGTTGCATCAGCCGGCGCTGCCTCCCCACGTGCGCCTCTTACCGGGCGGCCGCCGCCGCGCCGCCGGCCCGGGGGGGCGGCGCGCTCAGCCCGCGGCGCGGCGGGGGCGGCGCGGCGGGGAGCGCCGGGGCCGGGAGCGCCGGGGCCAGGCAGCGCCGCAGCGCCGCGCTCCTCATCCCTCCGCTGCTCCGGCAGCCGCGGCGGCGGGCACGGGCAGGGGCGGCAGCGAGGCCGAGGGGCGGGCAGGGATGGAGCACCGCCTGCCCCCGCTCCCCGCCCCGCCGCTCCCCCGCTTTCGCTTCTGGGTTTGGTTTTTTTTTGTTGTTTTTTTTTTTTTTTTGCAAGAAAAAACTCCGTCCAAATCACCCCCGAACATCAGCTCCGGCAGGCAGAAGGCAATAACTTCCTTCCTCCGCCCCCCGCAATGAAAAGCACCCAAAGTTTTTTGCATACTCAACGTTTATTAAAAATAGTATGAAATGGTCCCTGGGAGAAGTTACAATACTAGCAGAAGTCCCTTTTTTCTGGTTGGTTGGTTGGTTGTTGTCCCCTCCCTCCCAATTCCACTGATTGCATGAGATGCGAGTTAAACATTCTCCTAAAGCCGTTTAAACAAATCTAGATGTGCGCCCACAGATTTACCTTCTATCCGTATTTACAATACTTTACAAGCTATATTAAATAAATATGGGCTCTGCTACACCTCGGCGTCTTAAATATGTACAACATTATTTTTCCGTCGGACTTTACTAGATAGATAAGGGTCCTATCACAGGGGGTGTGCTGACTGTAACAAGTATCCCTGTGGTACGAGCTAGTAAGTACCATGACCAACCAGCCCTCAAAATAACAATTCCTAGCCAATGCAAGATACGTGTGGTAAATAATTTAGTCAGTTCTAATAAATTCAAGTCCTCAAATCTTAGTCTACAAGTAATTAGCTGTACACTGATAACTTCAGTTTTTCCTCATGGTAACCAATGTAGTAAATAATCTGCTGTTCTGGAAGTACAGTGCTCTGTAACTGAGGGAAGTGATACATGGTTAGTAAAAATAGTATTCCAATGAAATTCCTTTGTATATTGATATGTTTAACTTGGTACTGGCTTTATCCATGTAATCTGAAAAATGTAAGCACCAAAAAAGAACGGTCACACAAGATGATCAGTGTAGATGTATCTAGGCTTTCCTTTCAGTACAATGTTTTCAAGTAACAGAATCCAAAGCTGTGCAACAAAGATGATGAAGGGAAGTGTAGACAGTATTGGAAAGCCTGTCCTTGCTCTAAACGGCAGCATTTATTCTATACAATATTTGCAAAAGAATGGAATGTATTCTCATTTTTAAGCTACTTTTTATTGTACATAAATTGTATTAGAGTCAGCACTGACTGATTTACAAAAGATATCTTTTACCTCTCTCTGTCAGGAAGAGTCACTTTCTGCTACAGGAAATGCACGCCCTGGGGACTGAAGCTTGTCACTCAACCAGCAGTATCACTGAACCACCCTATGGGCCAAACGTGCCCCACAATTAGTATTTCACCCAAGAATCTGGCCAAGCCTCATTCTCTCACAGGGTTACTCACACTGGGACTTGAACAAATGCCCAGCAGGTCACTGCACATAACACAGAGTTTTGTCTCAAACTACCCAGCAGCTTTCGACTGCTGGGAGCTGAGCTACAAGATACTCAGAAGATGATGTCACAAACGCCACCATCACTGGAGGTACCAAGACTGGTCTGGCCCTCTTGACAAGCATTGCAGCTCCCCTTCTAGTGCCAAAACCATTCCCCAGGCAAGGACTGTGTCACATCCACAGGTTCTCATAAAAAACCTCCACTGCCTGTCTTCTGCCTCCTACGCAGTTCCAGAAAGTAGAAGAGGCTTCAGACACAGAGCTATCAGCCTAGTACAAGTACTAGGACTAGATTTTCTTTAAAATGTAAGAAGCTTGCTCTAAAATAATGTAGCATATGCACTGGTCCCACACACTTGGAATCTGTCTGATGAAAAGTAACGTGCAAAAAAGTATGTGCAATTGCACACACAGCCTGTTGGTGTAATCACCAAAACCCTGCTCAGAAATCATCACAGTCACAGGAGCAGCTGCCCAGATAAATGCTCCTGCATGTAAGCAGAGTAATCATACAGGTATTTTGGATGCAGAACACTGGACACTAACTGGAAAGTCTAAATACCAAGGTTTCCAAATGATAAAATGGCTTAAGAATCAAATGGCATTACACCTGGTTCGATGGCAAGAATCAGGGGGTATCACACCTAAGAAAGGAAGAGATGTCAAGGTTGAGTAGAAGATGAGAAATTCACATGTGCTACAGAGACCCCAGACAGTGCACACGTGGCCTCTTTCTCATTGAGGATTCTAAACCATTTTTTAAAAGATACATTTTGCATCTATTTACAACATTATTGCAATACAATGCCTGATAGTGTAATATTACGGAAATACGTGATGCCAGTACTGATTGTCCTAGTACATATTCTGTCATGATAAGGCAGTACATCTAGAAATTATTGAAAGCATCAAGCAAAGCTACTTGAACTGAGACACTGAAATTTTTCCCTTAAAGACTGGACAATATTCTGCTGATTAGGAGATGGTACTCTCCACAGGTAGTCATTCAGTTTATCTGAATCACTATATGCAGTCAGATACGGGGTAAGTGCGTGTTTGCTGCTGGCAGACTTTGCAGGAGTACAGGAGACAGTTTTGCCACAGAACATTTCAGAAGGAACAGCATCTGTGTTACGCAGTTTAGGATCTGATTTCCTTGTTTCGTTCTGAGAAGTCTCCAAGTCAGATCCCTCATCTTCAGACTTTATTTCAACATAGTCATCATCATCCCCTTCTCCTTCTTCAGAATCTTTGAAATTCAAAAAATAGTTCTGAGTAGCCATCTGTGCTGTCAGAGGGGAGGCTCTGTTCACTCTCAGGACCTTTTGAGAATCCTGCAGAATCATATCTGAACAGTTTTCAGGGATCTGCTTTCTGATCTCTGGCCCTGTATATCCTGGAGCAACTCCAGGAGTTTGATGGCTGTTGAATCTAAAGTTCCTATTCAAATGGTGCCTTTTCTTATCAATTTCATTGTTATATACAATTGATTCTCCAGACCTGTTGACCACTATTGAGGACGAGGACTGCGACCTGCTGTATGCCTGTGGTTTTACACTGCTTACTCTCCTTCCCAGCGAGTTATAGATATGATCTTGATGTAAGTTTTCTTTGTTTGGTTGGCTTATAATGGCACTCCACCTCTGCGCTGGGACATGCAAACGGTTGGAAATCTGAAGGGAAGGCACTGAGCCAGCTGATGGCAACTGCTTTGAATTGCTTTTTGTACCAGCTTCTGTAAATGAGTTCTTGGACTTTGTGTCCTGGGATTCAGAACACGGAGAGAAGTCAGCCAGCTCACCATTACTGTACGTAGAATGCAAAAGCCAATCTTCTGCTCTTGAGCATTCACTGGCAGGCTGGCAATGGGGAGGACATGCGGCCACAGGTGTGGAAAACTTCCCAGCTGGTGGCTCCTCAGGAGCTGCCCCGGCTTCCTTTTGGACCTTAGGCGTACTGTCTCTGAAGACAATTTGGTCATAAAGCTGGGAATATTCAGCTATTCTGGCACCTAGAAAGAAGAGAGAATTAACTTAGCAGAGATGAGGAATCCATTTCAGTGAATCACACAAAAATTTAAAAATCTCAAAATGCTTAGTATTAGAATGCTCTTAGAGAAGAGCTTTCAGTTGTGTCAATACATTCGGCCTCTGCAAAGGGACATGAAACACTGGAGGCCTTTGCATCATATTTCAGTACACTTTGTTGAGAAAAAGAAGCATAAAATATCTTGCTACAGTGGGCAGTCATGCAGGACACAAAGCAGCATGTGGTTCCAATAATATGCTGCTTGTTTCATGTTAAAATGGAAAAGAACATTCTA